GGTCCTATTACTATTCCAGTTGGACCAGAAACATTAGGACGTATTATGAATGTAATTGGTGATCCAATTGATGAAAGAGGTCCTATTGAAACAAAAATTAGATATCCTATTCATAGAGAAGCTCCAAGTTTTGTAGATTAAGGTAGTGGTGCTGAAATTTTAATTACTGGTATTAAAGTAGTAGATTTATTGGCACCATATGCAAGAGGTGGTAAAATTGGATTATTTGGTGGTGCAGGAGTAGGAAAAACAGTGCTTATTTAAGAATTAATTAATAATGTTGCTAAAGCTCATGGTGGTTATTCAGTATTTGCAGGAGTTGGTGAAAGAACTAGAGAAGGAAATGATTTATATCATGAAATGGTTGCATCAGGTGTTATTAATTTAAGTGGTGGATCAAGATGTGCACTTATTTATGGATAAATGAATGAACCACCTGGTGCTAGAGCTAGAGTTGGTTTAACTGGTTTAACTGTTGCTGAGTATTTCAGAGATGAAGAAGGAAAAGATGTCTTACTATTTATTGATAATATTTTCAGATTCACATAAGCATGTTCAGAAGTCTCAGCCTTATTAGGACGTATTCCATCAGCTGTCGGTTATTAACCAACATTGGCAACAGATTTAGGTTAATTATAAGAACGTATTACAACTACCAAAAAGGGATCTATTACATCAGTTTAAGCTATTTATGTACCTGCAGATGATCTTACAGATCCAGCACCTGCTACAACATTTGCTCACTTGGATGCTACAACTGTGTTATCAAGAGCATTAACAGAATTAGGTATTTATCCAGCTGTCGATCCATTGGATTCTTCATCACGTATGATGGACCCAAATATTGTTGGTGAAAAGTAATATATCATATTAATTATTTTAGACATTATACTGTTACAAGAGGAGTTTAGAAATTGTTATAAGATTATAAATCACTCTAAGATATTATTGCTATTTTGGGTATGGATGAATTGTCTGAAGATGATAAACTCACTGTCGCTAGAGCAAGAAAAGTACAAAGATTCCTTTCTTAACCATTTTTCATGTCTGAAGTCTTTTCAGGAAGAAAAGGTAAATTCGTTTCACTTAATGACACTATCGCTGGATTCAGAGGTATCATATATTTTCTATTGTAGCCTTACTTGATGGTGAAGGAGATGAATATCCTGAAAATGCATTCTATATGTAAGGAACATTTGAAGATGTCATTGAAGAAGCTAAAAGAGTTGCTGCAGAAACCACCAAATGAAAAATAATATATACATTATAACAATTACAATATCTTGCTCCGTTCTAATTCCTTATTATTAAATATTAATGTAATTTAATATTATTAAAACTACTCCCTCTCGCTTAGATAACTCCAGTTTAAAAGCTAAACTAAATAAACAATATGAATAACATACTATTTTAAACTGCGAAACTTACAAAAGCACTCTAAATAAATTATACTAAACATAAAGTTTATGCTCACTCATTAAAGATAAGAAATCATCAATTTCTAGATAAGTTTCTTAGAATAATCCATTTTGTAATGCAATTCCTAGAAATAACACTCCTAAATCCACTAATCCATCATAATAAGTAATCAACTTCTTTATATATAAGTATTACTTTTTTACAAAATAAAAAGAGTAGAACAAGGTTCAAACATCTTAAATTATCAGTAAAACATTACAATAGAGTTATTCTAAGGCGAGCAATACCAGTCTTAATAAAGATAATTCCTTCGGCATTTCCAGTAAATCTAATACTGATAGAAAATATAATTTACTCTCAATAGATTAGAACAAAATTATACATAAACCTAAAACAGAAAAATTTGCATCAATGGATAGGATCTAAACCATTAACAATTAAATTGTTGATTAAAAATAGCCATTTAATATACAATTAAGTTTAGACGACTTTGTGACTTAAGTGAAGGCCCCTGTGTCTAATTTTTCTAAAAAAAATTAAACTATTTCTCAATTTAAATAGGCAAAATCGTTATCTCCAAAAAATAGAATTTTATCAATTTCAAGAAGTAATTTATATTGATTATTTTAGAAAATGTTTACTATGTGAGTTCTATGATTGAAGCTATTAAGGGAGCTTATGATTCTGTAAGTTAATTATATAGAGATCATGCTTTATAAACTTACAATAGCATATGTTTCTGCTTAAATTAGACAATACCTGCTGATAATATCATATAAAAGAAATAAATAGATTTACCTTAAAAAAATACAAAATGTAGAGTTTTTTGATATATTCTATAGTTCGTAAGATAGTTGTTTTTGATCTTGATGAAACCCTAATTCACTGCAATGAAAATTAAAATAATAAATCAGAAGTCTGTTTGCCAATTACATTTCCATCTGGTGATACTGTTTAAGCAGGAATAAATATAAGACCATGGGCTAAATAAATACTTAGTCTTTTATCAGAAGTTTGTGAGGTTGTAGTTTTTACAGCATCCCATAAATGTTATGCATCTTAAGTGATTCAGTTTCTTGATCATAAGAGAATATTAAGTGCCTAATTATTTAGGGAGAGTTGTATAGTTACAAATGATGGAGTTCATATAAAAGATCTTAGAGTACTTGGTAGAGATATGAAAGATATTGTTTTAATTGATAATGCAGCATATAGCTTTGGATGTCATATTGAAAATGGGATTCCAATTATTCCATATTATGATAATAAGGATGATAAGGAATTAAAGTTATTATATGATTTCTTGATATCTGATGTTCTTCCTGCATATGATTGTAGAAAAGTACTTCAAGAAACATTCAAGTTAAGAGAATTCTAAAATTATAATAGTGCTAAAGCTGCAATTGAAAAATTATATTGTTGATTACAATTCAGTTATGTTTTTTTAGATTTATATCTAGATTTAATTTATAGACTTATCTTCTATTGATTATAATTTTTTAATAATAAAATTGTATTTAATTTAATTGATCATTAATGCTAGACAATAATGACCATGAATTTAATTATAATAAATTAATAATGTAAGAACAATTGAAATTAAATTACTAAGATCAATTCTCTGATTACTCTGATGATGAAGAAGATGCAGAAGACTGTCGAAATTATGCTATTGGCTGTTTTCATCCTGTATTTATTGGAGAAGTGTTTCATGGAAGATATGTAGCAATTTAAAAGCTAGAATTTGGTCATGATTCAACTATATGGCTTGCTAAAGATTTTAAGACTAATAATTTTGTAGCTCTTAAATTGTAAAGAAGTGCTCCTAGATCATAAGAGGCTGTATTATTAAGAAAATAAATAGGCATTAAATGAAATTGAGATCCTTTAGACTATTCACAAAAAATCAAAATTAATCAATATTGTAAAATTATTGCATGTATTTTTGCATAAAGGTCTATTTGGATAACATTTTGTATTGGTATTTGAAATGTTGGGAATTAATCTATTAAGAATCTCTCATTCAACAGAAGATAGAGGATTAAATCTTGATCAATGCAAATCCATTATTAAATAAATTCTTATTGCTTTAGACTTTTTGCATAGAGAATGTGGAATCATTCATGCTGATTTAAAACCTGAAAATATTAGAGTTTGTTTAACTAATGAATAAGTTAAGGAATTAGTTGATAAAGGTTAAATCACTTAACGATAACAATTCTAAGATAATATAAAACATTATCAAAAATAATCATCATCAGAAAAAAAGAAAGAAAAAAGAAAAAGATAAAAAGAAAAGAAAAAGTTATTATCTATAAAACAGAAACTACAATGGATGGTGGGTTTGGACAAAAGGTAGAATACTTAGATAAATGTAGAATATTTTAAATAAAGATTGTGGATTTTAGTAAGGCTTGTTTGATCAATCATCATAGATATGAGACAATATAAACTTTGTAATATAGAGCCCCAGAAGTCATTATGGGGTAATTCTATACAACCTCTGCTGATATTTGGAGTTTGGCTTGTATTGCATTTGAATTGATAACTGGAGACTGTTTGTTTGAAATCCAAAATAATGATGAATTGACTCATCTTGCTTACATTTAATAAATTTTAGGACCTTTTCCTATTGAATTTACTTGTGTAGGAAAGAATTGTAAAAAGTACTTTTCACATAATGGAGTGCTTAGACACTTCAAGGTGAGTGAATACTATACTATGGAATAAATCTTAGTTTAGAAGTAAGAATATTGAAAAATAAAGAGATACTAGATGGATAAAGTAGAAGCAAATCTATTTGCAGATTTTTTATTACCTATGTTGAATGTTATACCTTATAAAAGAGCTACAGCTTCATAAATGTTGAAACATCCTTGGATAAGTAAATAACAATTTAAATTTTATTATTTTATTGAATAAACATTTATAGATAATGAGCATGAATGTGATGAAGAGGACTTAATTAATAAGCATCTTTTATGATATTTAATAATAATTAATTATCATGTGTCAATCTTTATTTATCAATTAAAACCCATCTCATTAAATCCAAAATTATCAGATATAATTTATTTAGTTTTTTCTCCTTAAATCATTGAAAAGTCAACTTTAAATATTTCATCCCAGTCTTATTCAGGCCTTTTTCTTTTAAAGAAATGTCCCAAATTATCATTGTATTTAATTTCATTTTTACCTGATAGCTAAAGATTATGATATTATAAAGTAAAATAATCTAAAGGATCACTACTAGACTTAATATGCCAAATTGGTTTAGTTTTAATACATTTTTTTGGATCCATAAGTTATTTTTTTTTCAAATTATTCATTTTCAAATTATAATGAATAAAAAGATCTTTAGCAGTATTTAACAAGAATTATTTGCTTTCTAACAAATTCATTTAAGATTAATTATGCTCTTAAATATTATTAACAATTTTTTTAGCATTTTATTATCCATCTGGTTTCCATAATTCAGGTGATTAATCTCCACCTGCAAAGTCTATTACACTAATATTTACATATTATTAACCATCTTCTTAATCTTCATTTAAGATTTTATTATTTGTATTTGTAATTGGAGGAGGAGTAGGTTATAAATTATTTGTTTGTTCCTTCAATTAAAATGATAAATTTAAATTAATCTTTCTTTTATTTTTAAGAAAATGAATATAATTTCCATATTAAGTTCTATAATATTAAACTTCAGCCTATAATTATTCTATTTTTTAATCTCTACTCTTAATTCCCTTGATAAGTTAATCATTTTAATTATAACATTCGTTTATCTTTTTTTCCATATCTTCTGTAAGTTAGACTAACAATAAGACTTTATTCTTTTCTTTTTCAAATAATTCCTTATATCCTTTTAATAATGCTTCAGTCTTTTATAATTTTTCCATATAAATAGCTCTAAAAAATTCAAAAATTAATTTCAGTACCTTTCATTATTTGTTAAATATTTCATAGTATTTGTTGATGTTTATTAGAATCCCACTTAATTACTATATTAAGGTTAATTAGATTATTCCATAGGAGCTTAATTAAAAGGCTGATTTTAAAATATTTCTTCATGCAATGAGAGATTATCAGCTGAATTACCTGGATCATCATTATAAATAAAATCTTAACATCATGAAGAATATCTTACTTTTCATTTTATAATATGCTAAGGGACTTCTTAAAATGATACGAAGTTTAATTAATTCTCTTTTGAAATTCTAAAAATACATTTTTTAAAAATACTTGATTAAGGTCTTTAAGTTATTTGTTCTGTTCTTGTAAATTTTGTGATTCTTAAGAAAGTTTATTTAATATTTATCTAGTTGATTCTAATTCTTCATGTAATCTTAATGATTATTCATGTGGTGTTACAATTTCTCTAATCTTAACCATCTATCCATTGTCAATCAATCCTCTATTCTTTTCAATATCTTAAATAGTGTATTCTTTATCTTAAATGCATCTTCTCAATTCACTTAGTTTATCTTCTAATTCAACAATAAGATCTTTATAAAACGCTTAGTTTTCTTCAGATATTTGCTATGACAACAAAACCTTATTTATATAGAAATATTTACTTTATTTTAAGCTAAATTTCGTTCATCTGTCAATTTAACCATTTAATTTCTCAACATTTCATTTTCTTCATGTAATTTTATTTACAATTGAATAGTTTGAACATGTTCACCAGAATTAGTTGAATTACCAGAATTGTTTAGACTTATTTAATTATGAAAGTATTAATACTTTTGTTCAAGTGTTAAACGAAGAACTTCTTTATTCAATTTTAATGCTTTTTCCATATCCTTCAATTAATCTTATAATTGTTTGTTTTCTTCTTGTAAATATTGAATCTTAGCATATTGACGATTAGCCACAAACTCACTTATTTCAACTCCAAGAATTGTGTCTGTCATTATTTTTATTTATGATTTTAATACCGGGCTATAATCCAGGGCAATTAACACTATAAGGAACAAATACATACTTAATGGGAACTGGGTAAAAAAGAATCTTAATAGATGCAGGTGAAGGTAAGGAATAATACAAAATACACTTAAAACAAATTTTAGAATAAGAATAATGTGAAATTTCAATTATTCTTATTACTCATCATCATTATGATCATATTGGTGGAATATACTAAGTACTAGAATTATGTCCAAATGCTTAAGTATATAAAAATTTAGATCATGATTTATAATCAGATAAAAATTATCCTTTCCTTCTTCCACTTTAAGATGGATAAATTTTCTAAGTAGAAAATTGTATAATAACATCTATTTCATAACCAGGACATTGTGTTGATCATTTTGGTTTCATAACATAAAATTAAGAATGGTTTTCAGGAGATTCTTTATTGGGAGGTTCATCTTGTTATATTGATAATGTGGGATAGTATTTTTTCAGTATGGAAAAAGTTCTTAAAATGAATATGTAATTTATAATCTTAATTATTTAGTTAAGCTATTTATCCTGGACATGGATATTCTATAACTATAGGAGCATAAGAAGCTATTTAGAAATAATATGATCATAGAAAGAATAGAGAATAATAAATCTACTAAGCAGCAAATGGATAATCACTTGATGATATAATTAAATCTATATATCCAGATATTAATGATGAATACATGAAGAAATTTGTAACTATTGCAGTCAAAGCTCATTTAACTAAACTTATTAATGATAATCTCATCATTTTTAAAGATAATTCATATTTTAAATATTGATTATAATTTAAATTTAATTAATATATATTAAATATTCTTAATATATATTATTGTTTTTCTATCTGATATCATATAAATAACAAAAATAATTAGATTGAATTTTAGATGAAAATACTACTTATAATTAAGATTTTAATTTGATTATGTGATAAACTTAATATGATAATAAATAAACACGTAATTTATTAAAACATTTATATATAAAATTGTGCTATCAACAATAAAAAGAATAAAATAATGTTATTAGAAATATTTCTATTGTTAGTTTTAGTTGGGTTATTAATGGGATTAAAATGGTTATTTACACCATATACTAATTGGAAAAACTAACAAAAAACAGTGAAAAAAGATGATAGTATAGTGGTAATAAGTGATGGAAAAGAATATAAATATTCCACATATAAAAATACTTCAAATGTAGAATTAAGCATAATAATTCCATCATATAATGAAGAAAATAGATTAGGAAGAACATTGGAAGCATCATTAAAAGTAAAATGATATAATATTGTATTAGCATTTTAGTAAATATAAATATGAGATAATAATAATAAATGATGCATCAAAAGATAAAACATTAGAAGTGGCCTAGAAATATTCAATAAACAATAAGAATTTTAAGATTATTACATATAATAGAAATAGAGGTAAAGGAGGAGCAGTAAGATTGGGAATGTTAGCAGCAGCAGGTGAGATTTAATTAATGATGGATGCAGATTTAGCAACAGATCTTAATGAATATGAAAAATTATCAAAAGAAGTAAATATCATTATATAATATATTAGTTATAAAAAATTACATAAAATGGATTAGGATTAGTAGCAGGATCAAGAAATCATTTAGTCAAAGATGTTGTTGTATAAAGAAAATGGTATAGAAACTTTTTAATGCATTGTTCTAATTTCATTATCAATACTATTTGTGGTGTTAGATTAAAAGATACTTAATGTGGATTTAAGTTATTTACTAAAAATACTTCTTCTATTTTGTTTAGAGTATTACATTTAGAAAGATGGGCATTTGATGTTGAATTATTTATGATTGCATAAAAATACAAAGTACCTGTCTCTGAAATGCCTGTTAAATGGGAAGATGTTGAAGGATCTCATTTAAATGTAGTTGAAGCTTCTATTTAAATGGCTAGAGATTTTCTATTGGTTAGAATTCTTTATTTATTAAATATTTGGAATTTTAAAGATGACATTGGATTATGATGAGTTTTTTATTAGTAATAAATCAAATTATATTCAAATTATCTCCATTTTTAATCAATAAAATTCTATTTTTACTCTTTATTATACAAATTCAATTCAATTCAACTATTCAAATCTATATCCTTCAATTTATCAAGAAAAAAATATAACTTTTCATTCAATTTTATTTGAATTCTTAATAGAATACTTCTCACATTAAACCTCATTTAAACAGCATTATTTTAAAGAATAAATTTCTCAGAGGAAGAGAATACTTACTTATAGATTCTTTTAGTTAGAAATTTATCATTTAAATATAAATTAAAATTCATTAATTTAACAATTAATTTATTAAAGTTTTTTTTTGTCTGTTGTATTAATAATTTATATAAAAAATCTTCTATTTAAATACTATCAATTATTATATTGATGTGATTAATTAAAATAAGAATGTTATGAATTGTGTTAGTGAAATAAAGCAGAAATAGAATAACTTTAAATGTCCATATATTTTTTTTAAAATATCTATTCATAAGAAGTTTTATGAAATTATAACATATCTCAATGCTTTTTCTTTTTTGAAGAGTTAATTTATATATATTAATAATCAAAAAAATACAATAATTCTAAGAAATTTATCTTATCAAGAAAAAATTAAGGATTTGACATATTTCGATTTATATGACTATTATCTTATCTATTATAATTCTATTTTAAACAATGCTTAAATTCTAAATGGTTATGATAAAATTAATGAATCAAGAATTAAATTAATAAAAAAATAATATTTCAATTTTACAAACCAATTTTATAAAAAATTTATTACAAATCAGAATAATATTAGAAAATTTGAATATAAGAAGAGATAATCTTCTAGAAATTAGTAAATTTCAAAATTTAAATAAAATTTATTTTATAAACGAATGGATGTAAATAATAAAAAGAGGAATGTTAATTTTAAAATTGTAAAGATAATATTTCCTAATATTAATGCAAGGATTAATTATTTTGATAAATATGTAAAATTTACTGTTGCACCAATGATAATCATAAAGAGTTAAAAGTTAAATAATTATTTTTAACTTTAAGAATGTTCAGTCTGCAATTAATAACTACTAAGTTTATATGATAAGCTTTAAAAAAGATTATTAGGATTTGTCATATTATAGAATGAAGGATTTTGACTTGCATAATTATTGAAATTGAATAAAATTGTTTGATATTATTTACAAAAATATTAAAAATTGTTAATTTTGATTAAAATGGATAATGACTTGGATATTATAATTTTCGATATATTTAATTTTATAATAGTCTTGAAAATAAATTATTGTAATAAACTATAAATCATTAGATTGATATTACAATATATAACAGTAACTTATTCTTATGATTATAATAATTACTATATAAAGATAATAATTAAGAAACTAAAGATTTTTGAAATTATTATAGAAATATTATAAAAAGTAAAGTATTGAGGTTAAAAAATTTGATGACATAATTAAAATATGTAATTTTAGTTGCATTTGATACTTTTTGTAATGGTCTATCTAAGTTAGTAAACTTGCAGAAGTGAGGGTTGTTGGTGGTGTACAAACTATAAAGATTGTTGTGATAATTGTAAATGTTGGAAATCATAAAAATATTAAAAAACAATAGATACATTTGGATGTGATAAAAACAAATGTGATGATTATGATAACGGCAAATGTGATAAATGTGTTGATGGTTATTATTTGAAAAATTATGTTTGTTATCTTTGTACTTATCCATGCATAGAATGTTCAAGTTATAGCTGCAAAAAATGTGCTTAAGGATATAACTTAAGCAATGGTAAATGTATTTCATGTTCAATGCCTTTGTGTAAAAGTTGTGCAATGAATTCTAATTAATGTTAATATTGTGTCGATGATGCTTATTTTTTAGATAGTTCTAAAACAGCTTGTAAATGTAACGATACATATTTTTCAGATGGGAAACAATGCAAATAATGTAATTAAATATGTTTAGCCTGTGTTTCTTCATTTGATGTTTGTAGTTCTTGCAAAAATCTGGCGAATATGTCATAATCTCCAATTAATGGAAAATGTAGATGTAATGATGGTTACTATTGGAATTCGAATTCTTGTTAATAATGCATAGCTCCTTGTGCAACATGTGAAGATTAAGCCATATCGTGTACAACTTGTAATAATTAAACTTTAATTGTTAATGATGATAATAAATGCATTTGTAAGGAAGGGTATTTAAGTTCCCCAAATAACCCTTATTAATGCGAATTATGTTAGATTAATTGTTTTACATGTGAAGATTTTAATAACAAATGTACTTCATGTTATGAAAATTATTTATTAAATGATGATACAAATACTTGTTTTTGTCCGGAAGGATTTTATGAAGTAGATAATACCTGTAATGAATGTCCTAAATTATGTTCAAAGTGTTTGTCAGATAAAATTTGCATAGAATGTATTGAAAATATGTTAGTTATAAAACAAAATTAAGTATGCAAATGTAGCGATGGATATTTTTTTGATAAAATTGAATCACAATGTTAATAATGTGATTCTATATGTAATACATGTTCAAATAAATAAACATGTGATTCTTGCCATTAAGAAATGAATAGAACTTTAGATAATGGAAAATGTATTTGTTAGAAAAATTATTTTTTAAATGAAAATTAACTATGCATATCTTGTCAATCTAAAGAAGCTATTACTGTTGAATTTTGTAAATATAAAGATTGTAATGATGGAATATGGTCTTATGGAGAAGAATGTGATGATGCAAATTATTCTTCTAGAGATGGTTGTTTTAATTGTTCTATAGAACCTTTTTATTATTGTATTAATAAATTACTTTAACCATCAATTTGTCAAAAGTGTCAAGAAAATTGTGCTGTTTGTGAATATGATTAAAATTAATAAAATTCTAAGTGTAAATAAGCCATTGATGGATATTATATAGAAAATTCTACTCGAATAAATAAATGCTTAGATAAATGTTTACATTGCAAATTTACTTCTAGTTAATGTACTAAATGCAGATTTCTTAATATTAGTAAATCTGATATCAATTGTTAATTATGTGAATACAAATAAGGATATTATTCAGATTATGAAAATAATTTATGTTATTCTAAATGTGGTGATGCAATATTGGCTGATATTGAATAATGTGATGATGGAAATCAAATAAATGGAGATGGTTGTAGCAATCGCTGTATTTTAGAAAAGAATTTTGATTGTGTTAATGGAATTTGTAGTAAAACCAAGAATCCTATTCCATCAGCTTAAGAAAATTCAATTTATGATTTGTACACAAAAAAAAGACAAGTTTTGATAACGTATGATCAAGAGTTGAATTTCACCTAATAATTTGAACTTAATGACGAACTATAAATCTAAATGAACTAAGAAGCCAATTTAAACATATTTGTAAAATCTAACTTAAATTTCCCATAGGAAAATATAACTAACTTTACAATTACTATTGAAATAGAAGTTGATAGATCTATTACAAATGCAAGCTTATTAATAAAATATTTAAATCCTTAATTATTTAAAAATACTCAAAATTAGTTTTAAGAAATAAACTTTATAGAGGTTAAAATAACAGATATTGTAATTATTTCTTAATCAGCACAAGCCTTAACAGCTTCAACTGTCAATAGTTCTAATTATATTATTTATTGCTTATTAGCTTTATTAGGATGCGGATTGATACTAGGAGGTATGGATATCTATTTTAATCTTATAGATACACTTTAATACCTTTCTTACTTATATTATATTAATACTGTATTTCCATTTAATGTTAATTAGTTTTTTGAAAATCTGAATTTTGCTCAATTCACAATAGTTTAAGATTTTATCAAATTAGATGACATATTTGAATATAATTTTGATTATGATTTAGAACTTCATTCATTGACAGTCCCATTCAAAATTAAAAATTAAGGAATGTATTCATGTTTCCTATTAAATTTTGCATCTATTTTCTCTGTGTTTTTAATTGCCTTTACATTTTACACAATAGCTATTTTTATAAAATACAAAATTCTATCCTCTGAAAAATAATAATCTTTGAAAGATTAATAATCTAATTCTAAATTTAAAATGTATTATCTTATACTTGGAGCAAAATTACAGCATTTTGCTTATTAATGGGCAATAGTTATAATTAGAGAATTCTTTTATAGTGATTTGTTAAGAATATTCATGACAACAGCAAATGAATATAGTTTTACATTAGGATTAGGTTTAAAAGGACTTGACTTTAGTACTAAATTTGGTTCAATTAATTCAATAACAACTTTTATTTTTTTGGCTTTTTACATCCTTATTACATTTATTTCATTTAAAATTGTTGATAAAAAAAGATATGCCTTATAATAATTTTAATATTCTGTTAAATTTGGATCAGTTGTTTCAGGGTTAAAAATATCAAAATATTAAAAATTGTATAATCCATTACTATTAATAAAAAAGTTTCTTTTTATGGCATTTTTAATTTATCTCTATGATTATCCTATAATATAGGTATTGCAAGTAACACTTTTGAGTTTGACTACATTGATTGCATTGATTACTTATTAACCAATCAAAGAAAGATTAGAATTAATTAAATAAATAACTTGTGAAACTTCACAATTTGTTACTTTAGTTTTTTTCACATTTTTCTGTATCAATGATCTTATTAAATTTTTGAATGAAGATTAAAAATTAATTATTGGATGGATAGTCATATCTAATGTTTTAACAGCATTATTTACTTAACTAGTAATTAATTCAATTTAACAATGGAGATATCTTTATATAAAATATGAATTTATTAGAAAAATAGTTAATAAATGTGTCCTCCGTTGCTAAAAGAAATAACTTCCCTAAGCTTCTCATGATGTATTTTTATGAGTTTTTTTTATTTTCAAAGAAACAAATTTTATATAATTATTCTAATTTTATTTCATATTTATTTAAAAAGATAAATAATTAACATAATTTTAAATGAATAGTCATGAAAATGATATTCTTAACTGATCTAATTAAAGCAACCATATGTTTAAACCTTTTTATATTTTCAAGTTTTTTCTTTTGATTAATTGTAAAATATTTCATTCATTCTTAGTTCATACAAAAAATAATAACTAGCCACAAGGAAGTCATAAAATGAAGAAATATTTTAATATATCTTTAGATTTATCTTTAAATGATATAACTATAATCAAATAGCTTTTTGTAACATAAACAACACTTATCATAAATCAAATTATCCAAAATTGAAAAACTAATAAATTGATAAGGGTAGTATTGATCTCTGAAAAATTTGGCATTTAATAACTTTATTTATACATTTTTTTGAATTCAACATTTAATTTACTTAAATCTTTTGTTTATTAGAAAGTGTATAATTTTTATTTTTTGGATTTTGCAAACCTTAAATAACCTGAAGGAATTTTATACTTAGCTTTATTTACAATATATAATACATAGTTTTTTTTGATTTAGTAATGGCTGTCGATCAGCAGAATTGAGATGTGATACAATTTATGAATTAAATAAGTGTTGAATTTTTTAAGGGTATAAACAAAGTTAATTGAAGTAATTAAATTCCTCTCAAAATCTGGTTAGTAGTTCATCTATAGTACACTTAAAGTCTATTTTTTTTAAGCATTTAAAGTTGGAGTTTCAAAATAGTATTTTTATCTCATTACATTATATTGCATAAGTATTATGAATTATATTCAGATTAAAAAGAGAACTTTATAAATCAAATTAAAGAAGAGAAAGATTTGATTAATCTGTCTCTTATAAAATTAGAAATTACTTACAATATTTCATAATGAAATTTACACAAATTTAATAGAAGCAAAATAGGAAAATTATAAATATTTTCTCCTAATTTTTAAATTCTTTTGTTGACTTCTATTTAGTAAATTTTGTAATAAAAATTAAATCCTTTAAATTAGTCTTATAAGGATTTCGAAAATCTTTTTGAATTAGTTTATAAAAGTTTATTTAATGATGATTATGGATTAAATTATTCTTTAATACATATATATTTCTTTCTAGTCTGTGATTGTTTTTCATACATTTATACAAGAATTAGTTTATTAATAAAAAGATATTTAAATCATGATTACAATGATTTGATACAGGAACAGGGAGAAAGAATCGATAAAACTTTTCTTATGTTTTTTGTCACTGATTTATACTGTTTTTTTCATTACTTTATTCTCAAATTTGATTATGAGTCCCATTCGGTACATTTTGCGTAGAATATTTAAAAATTGAAAACATTATTCAGTTAAGTGAATATGTATTAAATTTCAATCAACATATATTATTAATCATAACCAATTTCAATTAAAAGTATATGGAACAAGAATTTTTTTTATTTAATTGAGAGATAGATTCAAAAATAAAGCATACTGTACTAGGGAATTATGAAGTGTTTAAATTAAAATCTTCCAATTAAAATGTTAGTTTTTCATATTTTTTTGTAAATATTTGAAAAAAAGGGTCTATAGAATTTATTAAACAACGAATCCAGAGGTAGAACATAAATTTATTTATTTGATAATTTTGAAGAAGGAAGATTATTTAATTTTGTAGTTGAGATTATTTTATTGTGAAAATTTATATTTTCAATTAAAATGTTTTTATGAATACTTTAATCAAAGAAAATAAGTTGATTAAGACAGTAAGGAGAAAGAAAAGAAAATGAGACAAATAAATTGTAGGGGAATAATGAAATGAAATCAAGATTTAGCAAGGTATAAATCTATAAAAATTAAGTGTACCCAACAAAGCAAAATTAGATAAATAATTATGTTTATTGGTAATATGTAAAAGATTAAGATGGGCTCAAAAAAATTTGAGCTGTTAGATTTTTAATCTAAACATAAACCACCACAATTAAAGAAAAGTATTTAAAAAATAATGAAAGAACTTAAGTTACTATACAAACTATATATATTTAATATATATTAAAAAAATCTACAATTTATGAAATAATATGCTAAATGCGTATTATACAAGCTTAATAACTATTTAAAAAAAATAAAATAGCAATTAAAGTATTTCTTAAAATTAGGAGGATAAAAATAAAATTCAAGATCTTTCTGATCAATCTTATAGTTTATAACCTATAAAATAGGGTAAATTCTATAAAGATTTGTGAGATAGAACATTTTGTTTTGAATGGACTTATGATTTTGCTATAATAAATACGTTAATTTATTATTAATTATAGAATTTTCTAGCAAATTTATGGATGTTTTATAAGTGGTTGATTCTGGAAAATTTAAACTAATTAATGTCTTAACTTGCTTCTATTGGTATTGACTTTGGTAGTTAGAGATCTGTTATTGCCGCAGCATTAAAAGGCGGTGTAAAGATTCTAGACAATGAAGGATCACATAGAGAAACATAAAATGTTATAGGATTTACAGTTGAAGAAAGATTCATAGGTGAATAAGGAGCTTTACAACAAAAGTCTAACTTCAAGAATTCTGTAGCATTTTTTAACAGATTCTTGGGATTATATGGTGAACCTTCATTTAGAGCAGAAGAGACCAAATGGTTGACTGTTCCTACATCAATAAATGATTCTGGAAAAACTTTATTTGAGGTTAATTACTTAGGTTAGAAGACTACATTTACTCCAGAATAATTGACAGGTTCAATGTTAAACAAATTAAAGCAAGTAATTGCTCATAATGACATCAATGTTTAAGCAAGTAATATTTGTATTAGTGTACCTGCATATTATACAGAATCAGAGAGAAAGGCATTAATTGATGCCTGTAAAATTGCTGATATTCCATTAGAGAGATTGCTTAATGAAACAACAGCTATTGCAATTAATTATGGTTTATTTAGAAAATCAGATTTAGATGCTGAAAAACCAAGACATGTGGCATTTGTTGATTTTGGACATTCTAAATTTTCAGCATTTGTAGGTTCATTCTATAAGGAAAAGGCTTAGGTTGTAGCTTAAGTAAATGAAAGAAATCTAGGTGCAAGAAATATTGATTGGCTTTTATTTGAAAAATTTGCCACATAATTTGAAAAATAATCAGGTGGTTTAAATGTTAGAAAAAATCTTAAAGGAAAATTAAGATTATTAGAATCAATTGAAAAAGCTAGAAAAATCTTATCTGCTAATTCAGAAGCTCCAATAAATGTAGAATATTTAGTGGAAGATGAAGATTTCAATACTTTAATAAAAAGAGAAGAATTTGAATAAATGATCTAACCAATTTTAAATTAGATTCAATAACAATTAGAATTTTTGTTTAATTAAGTTTCAAATTTGAAATTGCAATTACATTCTGTAGAAATAGTTGGAGGAACAACAAGAATTCCAGCAGTTTAAAGATTAATTGAAAAGATTTTCAAAGTAGAATAAGTATCTAGAACTTTGAATGCAAGTGAATCAATATCTAGAGGTTGTGCAATGATGGCAGCAATGAAGAGTCCAAATTTTAAAGTCACAGAATACAAAATTGAAGATTGTAATTATTATCCAATTAGAGTTGGTTGGCTTTATGGTTAATAATTATCATAATAAGACTAAAGTTAAGGTTTAGTTAGATGTTTCCCTGAAAAATAATGCAAGGTTCTTTTTGATTAAAATAATGCAATTCCTTCAATTAAAAGTTTTTCACTTTTAAAAACTGAACCAATAGAAATTACACTATTCTATGATCCTGTACCAGAAGGATTCTAAGCTGTTTTATGTATTAAAAAAAATCTATTATTTAGAATAAATTCGTGTTCCTCCTTAAAATCCAAAACATCAAGATCATTCAACAAAGATCAAAATATTATTAAATCATAATGGTTTATTATAATTAGAAGAAATAGTATTATAAGAAGAATTCATGGAAGAAGTGAAAGTTCCAGTATAAATATTAAAATATTATAAAATAGATTGAAAAACCAAAATAAGCAGATCCACCAAAACCAGCAGAACCACCTAAACCAGCAGCTGATGCCCAATAATAATAACCATAAGCTGGTGAAGCATAATAATAACCTGTTCCAGAAGTTCCATAATAAGAATAACCTAAACCAGAAGAACCATAATTTGAAATCAAATAAAAAAAGAAAACCATTTAAACTTAAATTAATTGTGATACCACATCTTTGAATAGTTTAACTAAAAAAGATATTGATCAATTATTCCAATAAGAATGTGAAATGTAAAATCAAGATAAATTGGTTCATGAAACACATTTCAAGAAAAATTAACTAGAAGCTTACATTTATGCTTGGAGAGAGAATGTTAATGGAAAATATGCATAACATATTAGACCAGAACTTAAAACTTAAATTTTAAAGGATTTAGAAGTTTAATATGAATGGCTCTATAGTGATGGTCAAAAGACTACAAAGAGAGAATATTCTGATAGATATGATAAACTTGTTTAATTATGTGGTCCAGTTGTCACTATTGCTGATGATTTTAGATTAGTACCTGAAGCTATTCAATAAGTTTTATAATACACAGCCAATTATGAAGGTTTTGTTACTTCATAAGTAATCAATTATTTAATTTTATAGGAATAATAATATGCACATATCTCTCCTGAAGAAAGATAAGTTGTTGCAAATGAAGTTAATGATTTTAAATTATGGTGTAATTAAGTTTTAGATGCTTTAAGTAAAGCAGATAAAACAGTCAGATTCACAACTTAAGTTTAATAAGTTCATGCTAAATTCAATGAATTTAAAGATGTAAATATATTCCATTTACATTTTAGAAATGTTAACCAATTGTAACCAAACCTAAACCTGAACCACCTAAAGAAGAAAAGAAATCTGAAGAACCTCAACCTCAACCCCAAGAATAACAATAAGAATAAAAAGAGGCCAATAATAATAATAACAAAATGGAAACAGAATGATTTATTATTTATTGTTATTGTTGTTAATAAGTAATATAATTTCATTAAAAAATTATTAATATTTATTTCTATTCACTTTGATTACTATTTTTATAAAATAGTTAAATAATGAACGAAGAGTTTAATCTATACGAGGAAGAATTTCATAAATACTCAAAAGCCTTATTATCCAAATTTCATCAAGCTCCGACAGCTACTCAATAAGATTATAGAGAAGCTATGGAAGAGTTTAGTAATTTGAAAAGATCACTGGATGGAATGCAATTATCTATAGGTAATCGTAGTGGACCTTAATTTACTAAATTAACTTAGTATAAGAGTGAATTCTAACAAATTAAATAATAATACACACAGTATGTTCAACACACATCTCCTACTTTGGCTATGGCTATATAATAAAATGAAAAACTTATTGAATATACTAAAATTGCTTATGAAGCTGAAGGACATGCGACTCATATATAATTTGAGTTACAAAATTAAACTTATAAATTAGATGGAATGATTAGAAAAACAAATGAAGCAAATTAAGATATTGGAACTTCGGAATCTTTGATAAATCGTATGAGGAATCGTGCCATTTATCGAAAAATACTAACTTATTCTATGGTTGTCTTAATTTTGATATCAATTATCCTTATTCTTTGGTACAACTTTTTTTGAATTACGAATTCAAATACATATATTATTTTATTTTCATAATTATGTAATAAATAAAATCAAAATTATATTATGAATAGAAAAGATAACTCTGAATCAGATAGCTATTCAATGGAATCAATTAAATTAGAATAATTAGATGAATTAAACGAAATCAATTATAATGATGATAACTTAGATGACTTAGACAAAATTATTGCAGATATCTAAAGTATTAAAAAATATAATTTTAGAAATTGAACTTAAACAATAAATTCCTTTATTAGAATAAAGTAATGTTAAAAGAGGGGAGAGTTTAGACAAATTTATATGCAATTTCTTTGTTAAATATTAATTGCATAGAAGTTTAGAAATATTTTAAGTAAAATTATAAAAAATAAAAGGAAGAATGGACAGAATTAACAAAGTCAGTAATGTTTCATATTAACAGTATTAATTCAATACCAGATATATATATATAAGTTGAAAAATTAAAGGATGAACTTTTATTATTGAAAGGCGAATTAGAAAGATCAAATTTGGTTGCTGAAAAAGCTTAAGAAACATTACAAAAATTAAAGCAATAACGAGATTTTCATAAACTCAATTTTTACAAAACTTAATAAGAAAAGAAATAATTATAAATTGAATATGATAAAATTAAATAATAAATGAACTTCCAAGAGGAAAAGTTATAGAAATCAAATATTAGAATAATGGATAAAAAAGAATACATATAAGAAGAATCAGTTTTGAATAGGAAACGCTCATAATTAAAAAATACCTTTTCATCAAATACAAATTAAGGTTAAGAAGAAATAAAAAATTATAAAGACATACAGACATTGTTGGAAAAATTGCCTTAAGTTAAGAAATCTTCTGGATAGACTTTGTTGTTCAAGCCAAAAATAAATAAATGATTTTAATATTATTTAACTTTTTGTTAAATTGAAAATTTTAGATTATTTACATTATATATATTATGAATAAAAAGTAAGTTAAAAATTAAGTTCATATTTCTAAATGTTAAATTAATCGATCTAATCTTTCAAAATTATCATCAGGTAAAGGTTCTAAAACAATTTATTTCTTTGGTTATACTAAAGGCTTATAAAGTATTAGTTCTTGTTGAACAATTGGTTTTTTAAGAAAATTGACAGGTTTAAAATCTTTTGGTTTTTATTTTGTAGCTATTTAATCTTTTTAGATTGCTAATTTCCAAATATTTTAAAGAGCATTGTTAGTATTTTATAATGATTGATGTGGTTGATATTATTAATTAACAATCTAATGTATGTTTGTTAATAATTCTTCAATTTTTTCATCTATTGGATCTTAAGGTTCTTAGAATGATTATTATTCTTCATATTCATAAATCTAATCTTATACTTTAGGTATTTCTGACTCATTTAATAATAATTCTTCAGTTCTTTAGTGTTCTCCTGTAAAATCAAGTTCAAATTATTACTGTGTATTTTCCACATCCTAATTTTACTATTCAAATTGATTAACAAAAGTCACTTGAGCAGAATCTCCTTCTGATCTTAATTTTTTTTAGGCTGATTATGGTTATTCATGATTTTCTAAAGGAGTAACAATATATCGCTGACCTTCATGTTTCATACTTTATAAAATTGGTAATATAGTTTAATTTTCAAGCATTCTTTAATAATCAGAAGAGTTTTTAATTTATGAAATCTCATTAGCTTATAATCTTTTAGTAATTTCATCTTCTCTATTTTTCATAGATTATAAATCTCTAAGTAAAGATTCATCAAAAACCTAAGTTGTTTAAGCATGTATTTTTGGCAAAATTAATTATGTTTCAGTATATAATTCAGGGACTGATTAATCATCATCATTATATTGATTTTGATTCTGATAAAGTTATTTGATAGCATTTCTAGCTTTATCGTTTCGATAATATTCTTGTAACAATAATTATCTTTTTTCTGCTTCAGTTAAATTAGAGTTAACAAATTTTGTAGTTTTAAATATTCTATCTCCTTCAATGACAGGTAAGAAGGGAGTTTGATCAACAATGTCCCAAACTTTTTATTCTTTAGCTTTAGATTGTAAATATAATAGTTCTTTTTCTGCTTTTAATCTAACATTGTCAACTCTAGTAAGATTGTTTCTCATTTAATCAAGATCCTTTTCAAAAATTAGTTGTTGCTAGTCATAATATTCTTTTAGTTAATCGATGTGTTTCATTATTATTATTTATATTTATATATATATTTATTTTCTTCTCATGGCTTTTGTTCTTCATTCTAAAGAGCTTCATCAAATACAAATTCTTCTGGCACTTAATTAGGTGGAGCAGGTTATTAATTTACTACTTATTCAATAATTGGTTATTTTGGTTTAACAGTGAGAGAAATCACATCAGCAGGTTATGAAGGTTCACTATCAATTAACATAACTAAACCTTATTTACGATCCTATAATTAATATAATAATAATAATACTTTTAGAAGTGGTTAATATCTACTTCCTTCTAACAATTATATATGTTTCTTTTATTTATCTAAAATTCTACATGGGTTTATTAAAATGTATTAATTCGGTTCATCTTTAGGTGCAGCCTATTTCTTTTCTTGTTCTTCAATAAGACTCGGTTATTTAACAATTTCACTTGGTTATTGTTCTAAACTCATTTTTGATTGCTCTCTAGAAATTACACCTTAAGATGCAGAGTCAAGTTATTTTTTTTCTAAATCCCTTTTATTTGTTCTTGCTCTCACTTTTTGAGTAGTGCTTAATTAGACAGTCTTTTTTTCAGCAATAGGTTTTTCTGATTTTTTTTAAGGAGGAGGATAATCATAGACTGATTGTTTAGTATTACATTATAATTAAAAGTCTTTAGGAATATCCAAACTAAAAATATTATAAATTATAGAATACTTTTCATTTAAACCAATAAAAGCAACTGGTTATAAAGCAATAGATATCATAGTTAAACAAGGGTACCAATACCAATAATTTAAGAACCATAACATACCAACACAAGCATTAAGTTTTGGTACTCCCTATCTGCTTTACAAAGAAACAGTCAAATTTCTACCTCCACAATCAAGTAAGCCTTAAAAGATTGCTAAACCTAATTTGGTAAGAACAGTTTCATGTTTTTTAGCAGCAATTTCATTAATAGATTTCATGATAGTTTCAAATTTAGATTCCTAATCTTTATTTCCTTAAGAGAGTATCATTCCTAAAGCTATCAAAGCTCCTTGTCTAACAAAATCAACAGTATCTGTTAACATAGGTTCTATAGCTGATATAGCATCTGGATAAAGAGTTCCAGCACAAGCTATACCCAAGGCAATAGCAGTACCATATCTAATGTGTGGATTATAAGATAAAGTCAATAATCTCATAATTTTAGGTAATGCTTCATAATTCTTAAACATTAGAAAACCAAATGAAATAACTGCTGCTCTTCTAACATCTTCAGAAACATCATTTACTGATATTGATAATAATTTTTAAATAATCTTATTGCTTCCCGTTCCTACATAAGCAAATGCTAAAGTGAAACAACCACCATATCTAATTAATGGATCATTAGATTATAACATTTAATCAATAATAACATCAGCCTTATCTTCTTAATGGAAAAGAATACAAGCAATCGATAAAGATAAGGTTCTAACAATCTTGTCTTTGTCTGATTGATTGGCCAATACTAATAGATGTTTACATTATTCAATTGATCCAGAACCAGCATTTAATAAACCATAACCAATACTTGCACCTTCTCCATAAATTGATTCATTTTTAGAAACTAAATTATGATAATCTTGATTCAGTTTTTCATCTTCAGAAGCAAATGCTACTAATCCTGAACCTAAACAAGCTCCATGAATAATCTATTCTTTTTAAGATTTCATTTGATCTGAAAATTTAAGTAAAAGTTATTGATCTTAAGTTCCAAAGTGAATAAGTCCTAATCCATAGAGTGCTCCTCCTATTTCAAATGGATTTGTTTATGCTAAATGAGTTGCCATTATTTATTAAGATTCTTCTATATTATATTTATGAATCATTCCCAAAGTAGATGTAGCAGTAAATCTTTACCAATAATTACATTTAGTTGCCCATTATTAATTTGCTTACAAAAACTAAGTATCTTATGTTCCTGCTGTTGCTAATCCATGTCCAAACATACATGCACCATGCAAAACACTTGATTGTTTTGGATCATTTGCACCTTTTATTTTATTTAATACTTCAATATCAACTTATCTATGATTCTTTAAAAAGTACAAATATGCTTTTCTTTATTATTCTCCTGATAATAATTTTATTAATTTATCTCTAACTTCTTAAAATTATTGATCAATTGGCAATGCAGCAATAATCTTTTGAATAAATTAAGGTTTTTAATTTTATGCTAAATCTATACATAATTATTCAGCTAATAATAATGGAGTACCAGATTGTAATTTATAATGATTTTCATTTGTTACTAAAGTCCAAAGTATTTCAGCTACTTTAATTGCCTCTCCCAATTAAATTAAGACTGTTACAAATTATCCCCATTCTTCGTTCGGAATTTGACCATGTTTTGCTTCTTCATAAATTAAATCCACTGATAATCTTAATAATTATTCCTTAAATTCTCCTCTTTAGGTATTAAATAGATGTAAAACTGACATCATTTTTCCTGGATAATTCCATTTATTTAAAATCTCAATTACCCAATCAATCCTTTTGCATTCTACTGCCACTCCTATGGCTGATATATGATTGTTTTATTAACATGATAATTCCAAAATGCTTTTTATTAATCTTATTCTTTCTTCAGATGCCTTTCCTGATTAACGATATTACTCAATACAATGTTTAATTAAACATTGATTAAATTTATCATTCAAATCTGATTACCAATAATTTCCACTCTATAATGCATAATTAAGAGATTCATCAAAGTTATCAAGATGGTATTGAATCTTTGCACACAAATAAGCAGCTAATTGTCTTTCTGGAAATTTTGGATCTTCACTCAAGGTTTCACTATAAAATATCTAAAATTTATTATTTACATCTAACTAAGTAATTCAGATATCTCTGACCATTGTTGATCTACTTAATTTAACATTTCTTTCAATGCCAAAATACGAAGATCATTATCTTTTTCCAATAAAAGAGTATTGAAATTCATAAATTTAAATTGTAAATAATACTAATCTCAACATTCACTTAATTTTTATTCTTATATCATCTCAAATTTATAATGTATTTTATATTAATTTACTATCTTACTAACTATTCAAAAATATTTAATATGTTTTATATGGTATTTAAACATTAAGTGTTCTATTAAATAAAAGAAATAAGTTATTATAATAAACAAAATAAATAATTATTTTTATCTAATATGATTAATGCCAATGATAACTTAGAAGATGAATTCGATGGACTTACCATAGAGAAACTATCAGGAATTAAGAGATCCATATTATAATCTAGAGATGTTCATGATTGGTTTAAGAAAAGGTTAATTTATTGATTGTAATATCAGATATAATGATAAAGTCAAAAAAAAATATTTGTATTTCCCAGAAGAAATCAAACAATAATTGGAGGTTAAAAAAATCTTCTAAAATTTTGACTAAAATAAATCAAGTATGGAAGTTAAATTTAATTTAGACAATTTGGATATGAGTGAATTATACGAGATGTTTTAAAAAAATGGCTTCAAAATAACTGAAGAACAATTGCAAAAGTTTTTCAAAATTGTTGATAAAGATAGAGATAGTAATTGATAAATGTAATCAAAGATGCTTTAAATTGGAGTGAATTCAAAAATTCAGCCTTTAACGAACAGGCAGCACAAGGTATGCATTATCATTTATATTTTTAGTCTTCTACGAAATTATGAAAGAACTAAGAGAGAATATGGAAAAAGAATAAAAATTAGACAGTTCTTCACCAGCTGGAAAATACATGCCCTTCACTTTTAATAATATGATCTCTTATTTAAGCTATTTAGCAAGTCGTGATGAATTAAAAAAATCTATTGATGTATATATAATCTTGTTATTTTAGGATAATTCCATTTCTCAATTGGAAAAGTTTAAAAAGTATATGGAAATTATTAATCTAAATTCCACAATTAATGTTTAAAAAAGAAATCAATCCACTCCTGAGGTGGATATCATTCATGAAGAAGTTGGAGAAAGTCAAAATTTAGATTAAGAGTAAGAATTTGTTAAAAGAAATGAATAAAGATTTAACTTATACAAAAACTCATGTAAATTAAATCACCTTAACATAGTTTATAATTCTTAGAGTGCTTCAAAGAGTCCTAAATCTTAAAAATAACCTAATATCATTTAAAGGGAATAATAATTGAAAGTTCCCAAAAAATTAAGAGAAATTGATGCTATTGTAAGATCGCACCAAGTACCTGAAACTTAAAGTTTATTTAAATTAAAAGAAAAAACTAATAATTCTATCATTAAATTAAAGCAAGACGTATCTAAATATATACATTTAGCTAAAACTTAATATAATATTAATGTAGAGGAATTATAAATAGTAAATACTCCTTATTATTGTTATAGTAAAGCACAAAAAGTAAACCACCACTTACTTTGAAAATCAGGAATTTCGAAGAAGACTTTAAAAATGCATTGGCAGCTCATTAAATGTCATATAGTAATTCTGAACCTTATTTTAAATTTAATGGATCTTCAGTTTAGGAACCTCAATTACCTATTCTCGAAGAAAAATCAAAAACAATAACAAATCCAATATTACCTGGAGATCATTTACCAATATCTGTTTTATAAGAATTAAGAAAATTTTAAAGAACATAACAAAATTCCTTTAACTCCAATACTTTTAAATCCTTATTTAAAACTCAAAGTGATGTAATATTTATAAATAAATGCATTAGTTTACAAAGACAGCTATCAGCTAAAAATCTAGATCTTAAGGAAGATTCATGAACATTTAAAATCATGAGAAATTTTAATTTAGTGTTCCATAAACAGCTAAACCAAATTAACTGAGAAGTTAATTATCAACTGCTCCCTAATTAAGAGTTGGGACAAATTATGGAATGAAAGTAATTTAAATCTTATATATTCTAAATTAGAATCTTTAAAAAGTTGAGATTTAACCTTTACTAGGAAAATCACTGATAAAATAATGAATAATATATTTTTTATTTTTTAAAATGAGTGAAGAACTTAAAGACACTTTTGATGGTTATTTAATGTTTGATTTCTCGAACTTTCATGGTTTGATGGCTTAAACATTTGATAATGAAGAAATAGACATTCCAAAAGTTGAGAAATAACCAAAAAGAAAAGCATATAATATCCCTGGTCCTTATCTTGATAGTCCACCAATTGAATTTGAACGTAAGAAAATCAGTTAAGGAAGGAAGCGGTGATTGTAGTGAAGGAATATTATTTAATGGATAATTGGGTGAAGATGACATTCCAGAGGTTAATTTAGATGAAGATTGCTTATCAAATTTTAATTATTCCACTTCTGGTTTTAATTTATTGGCTAATCTTGATTTTGAACCAGATGAAGATGCATATGATAATGCTATTAATGCTACAAGTGAACCTAATTCATTACATCATAGAAATTCTAAAGTATCAAGAACGAAAAAAATATCAATATTTTCACCAACATTATAATTTGATGATAATGTTGATCAAAAAATATAAATGATAACTTTATAGAACATGGAATTATTAAAAAAAGAAGAAAAATGTGATATAGATGATTTTTATAAATTTCTAACTTCATTAGATTTTCTTAATGTGTCTAATTAGAAACATAATGATGATGTAATGAAAGTAGATTAATTATTTCATTTGGTTTAAATAAGACAATTTTTTGATAAAATGGCTGTGATTTTATTTTAAAAGACTGATTAATTACATTCTATTAGTTATACATCCAAGTTGGACTAATTTAAAGAGAAAATGGATCACTTTATTAATCTTGTCTAATATATGGTTGATGATGGAACATATAGATAGAAATCTTTAAGAGATCAGCATGTATTTAAAAAAGATTATACATTAACTATGTCAGTAGCATTTTTTAAAGGTTTAGAAATTATTTCACTTTATAAGTCCTTATTGATGCAAAAGAACATGTAAGATAGATTAAAAAAAGTAATGAGCATTTATATAAACATAGTATAATTCTGCAAAAAAAAACTTATAGTCATATTTGAGATTGTGGAGGCTTATTAAAAAATTAAAGGTTTCATTGAAGTAAAAAAATACTCAAAAATCGTGCACTTTAACAAATTCAACTTTAGGCAATTAATCAGTTGAATTATCAATTTCAGATCCACATGCACAAATATAGCTTGCTAGAATTAAAGATAAAGATAAAGATAATAATAATAACACTAAAATATCTTTAGAGGGCTTCGATAAATATCTTAATAGAACAATTAAAGTATAAAAAACGACAATATGTTATGCAGGAGTATGGAATAAAAAAAAACTACAATCTAGTCAATATTCAATATATTATTCAAGAAATTAATCAGACTAATTTGATTATTGAACTATCGTTTATAATTATTTTACAAATTATTATTTTCATTTTAAATGGCTTTTACTTTTGGTTCTGTGAGTTATTTTCTCAATAAATCAAGCAATATTGAGATTGACTTTAATTAGTATTGTGGTATGTTAATATAAATAAATAGAAAAGCATGAATTACAAAATATGGTAACAGAATGTACAAAATTTTTTGTACGAAAAGCTAACATCTAACCATAAACTGCATTTTAAGAATTGTATAAATATTAAATAATATTAGTGTTTAATGCTATTTTAAAGGCGAAACTGTATTGCTGAGACCTTATCAATAAATTTGTAATTCAAAAATGAATCGATTAGTCTTTGTGATTAATTTCAATAAAGTATGTTTTCAAATTGAAGAAAACTTAGATTTTTGAAAGTTTTGAAGATAAGTCAGGATTTGATTATTACTAATTAACGAAATTATTATGCTCAGATTTTCCAAGAGAAATAGTAGTTAATTCATTGTCATTATATGCAAATCTCGATGAAGTAAATATTAAATAAAAATAAGGAATTACTTTTCAAGAAAACATTTACTTTATTACAATTTTGTAAAGCATTACTTTTTGAATTATTATTTGAAAACATACTATAAGAACTAAATGCAAAATTGAATACTAATGGAGTTATTGATAGTATGTTACCAATTTTAAAGAAATACTATCCAAGCAATGATGAATATTTATATTTACCAAATCCAGCAGCTGTTTTTGAATGTTTAATGAAATTTAGTAATGAAAAAAATAAAGCATGTATACATCCAATTTTACCATTTACAGTGGATATGTTTTCAAGTATATGATAATATTAAAATTAAAGCTTAGTATTTAAATGGTGGAATAGTAGACTTTAATAGTTTTAAATAACAATTGTTTAAAAATGCAAAAATTGATTTTCAATTAATAAGATTGATTAATTTGATTGAAAACTCTAATTAAAGGATATAAGATTGTTAGAGATTAGATGAAGATGAAAGCAAAAAGAAAAAACAGAAATGATTAATTAAATTATTTAATTTGAATGATTGTTTTGATAATTCCTCTTTTATATATTGTTTAAAGTTAAACAACGACAAATACAACAACAGCAACAACAACAACAACAACAATAAGTTATGCAAATTAAGGATCTGATTGGAGCTAAGGAGTTTGTTCAAGTGATTTTATTAATTATAATTGTAGGCAGTTCTTCTTAAAGTCCAATAAATTTAGAAGTATCATCAGGAACATGTGACAATTCCATGGTCCTTGACATTTAATTCAAGAAAGAGGCTATGCAAATAGTAATGGAAAGAGTGCAACATACAATTCAATCTAATGCAACGATTTCAAATTTATATGCCACAGACATTAATGGAAATCTTTATGGTAATGTGGTGAAATATGTTAGGATACACTGCTACATAATTTATGTTTCATGGACCTTCTGAACATACTATTGAAGGCACTAGATATGATTTAGAAATGCAAATTGTACATGAACTAAAAGTATTACTTTATATTTATATATTTTAATTTTTAGTCTGAGTTCAGTGCCACCATAACTAAAGCTATAGTTTCAATATTATTCGAAGTTTCAAGTACGGATTAACCATTCTTTACGACTTATGACTTTGCATTAATGGCTGCTCCAACTACATCTAATACTACATCTAATACAACAGCAAATCAAACCAATTCAACGAATACAACAACTGCTAAACCTGTAACTTCTACTATAGCTTCAATTAATTTTAATGATCTTTTAGGATCATAATTAGATGCTAATCCAGCTTATTACACTTATATAGGATCATTAACTATTCCAGGTTTAAGTCTCTTCTTATTTATTAGATTGCGATGATAATGTTAATTGGTATATTCTGGATTCAGTATTACCAATCACCTAAACTTAACTAGATGCTTTTAATACTTTTTTCTTAAGTAATACCACATTTGCATCTGGAAATGGTAATAATAGGGCTATTTAATCAACAAACGACAGAGTTATTAAAAAAGGAGGAGTAGCTTGTGAAGAGTAGTTTGTCTACTTTTTCTCCTTCTTTATCCTTTATATTTTTATTAATTATTTCATATTCAAATTGTTATGAACATTATTCAACAATATTAATTATAATTAATTCATGGGATAAATAAACCCAAAATATTCACCACCTTCTCCAGACAAATTAAAACTAACTTATCAGATAAGAAACTAAGCAAAGGTATTATAATTACTTATCTTTTAAGCCTATTACCTTAGTATTTGATTCTTAATTTTAAGCTTAAGAAATTAATCAAAATGATTGGGATCTAGTAATTTCATCAATTAACTTTAAAATTGATAAAATTAATAAGCTTCAAAAACTTCCAATAAGTAAACGAGACTTGTTAATTACCTAGATTTTAAAGCTTAATTAATTCAATCCTTCATGATGAACAAATCTATTGAAACAGCCCCTTGTATAATTGGTTCTGAAGAAGGACTCCAAGAATTATTAATATATTTAAGAACTCTCAATAAGGAAGATTTATAAAAATTCGTTGAGGATAAATTATTGATAGAATAATTGAGGAATTTATTAAAAGTTGAATGTGAAGGATATCATGATAAAGAAGTAAATAATTTATTCATCAACTTAAGTGTTTAATATTAAATATTATATTGCATTGCATCTAACAGAATAGTAGTTTAGATTTAGATTAACCAATTTTAAATGAATTAGCAGAAATTTTAAATCCAATTCATTCTGTTAACTTTAGCTTACTTTTAGAAATCTACATCTCTATATGTAAAAATTAGACAGATGAAAAAATAAATTAAATTTCATTATCATGGATGGAAATGAAAAGAAATGGTATGTGGAATTATCCATTCGAACCATTTATTTAAATTTTATAATTAAATAAAAGTGTTTTTTCAATTATGAATATGGTTAGATTTATAAATTATTTTATGGAAGCTCATGAAGATGTTGAATATAGTAATAAATTAAAAACATTACTTATTAATTTTGGTTTAAGATTTTTAATTGAAGATGTCAAAGCTAAAATTTAAAATGGTTATTATAAAATAGAACATTGCACTTATGAGTATATGGATGAAATGTTATTAGAATAATATTAGCATTATAAAATTAATCCATCAGCTCGAAAAAGAAAATTATTACCTCCAGATGGTAAACCAGTTGAATTAAGTGTTTGTGCAGCACTTTGTGCAGACTTATTTATAGATCTCTAAGATTTAGAAGCCTAAAAAAAATTTGAAATGGCCCAATAAGAAGCACTAGCATAAATAGATGCTTTTTTAGAATTAACTGAAAAAATATACTCTAAAGTTATGAAGCCCAAAAAATTAGTTATTGACAAAAAGTCCAGAACTAAAAGAGCAGGATCTATAACAACATTTCTAGAAGAAGAAAGATCAATTAAATTAAGAATACCTGATTTAGATTATCAAAAACTTCTTACATAGATAAGAGAAGCTACTTTATTTCCTTAAGTTTTAGATGCATTCTAAGATTATTTATAATCAGCTGCAAAAATAGGAGTTAACGTTATCTCATAAATAATGTCTGTAGCAGTTGACAAAATGGTTGAACTTCGAAAGAATGATCCTCTAAAATTAGATTTATTGGCATCTGAAGCTAAATGTACTCAACTTGAAAATTAAATTAGATCTCATATTAATGAGAAGGCCAAGATGCAATAAGAAGTAATTTAGCTGAAAGAAAAATTAGCACATGCCGATAAATATATCAAATAAATGGAATTAAAATTGTAAACCTAAGCATAAGTTATCCAGACTTAAAATAATCAATCTAAAACACAATAATTACCTCCTCCACCTCCTCCACCACCTCCACCACCATTACCAGGTCAAACTACAAAGATTATTACTCCACCACCTCCACCACCTCCACCACCTCCCCCACCTCCTCCTTTACCAAATTAAAAATCTTAAGTTCCTCCACCACCTCCTCCTTTACCTGGCCAAAAATTATCTGGTCCTCCTCCACCTCCTCCATTGCCTGGTTAAAAAATTGGATCTATTCCTCCTCCTCCTCCACCTCCACCATTATCTGGATAGAAAACTGGATAAATACCACCACCTCCACCACCTCCTCTACCTGGATAGAAAACTGGATCTATTCCACCTCCACCTCCTATGCCTGGATAAAAATCTGGTCCTCCACCTCCACCACCGCCTCCTGGATAAAAAGGAATGCCTCCTCCTCCACCACCTTTTGGTGCAGCTAATGCAGCAGGTTTAGGAATCTAACAATAAGTTGGAAAAAAAAAATAAAATCCTTCAAAAACAATGAAATAAGTTCCTTGGGTTGTAATAAAAGAAGAAAAAATTAAAACTACTATTTGGGAAAAGATTGATGATTCAAAAATTAAAATAAATACATCCTTTTTAGAGGAATAATTTTGCAAGGTTGAATTAACAAAAGCTACTGGAAATGCTTTACCTTCTTAAAAAAAATAAATTGTTTAAAAGGTTTCTTAATTATAAGCTGAACGCTAAAAGAATGTTGAATTAGTTATATCCAGATTAAAAATCAGTTCATTAACCTTAAGAGATGCCTTTTTAAATATTGATACTCAAATTTTAACAGAAGATAAAATAGCTATGATAATTAATGCAGTTCCAGAAAAAGAGGAATAAGAAATGTTTTTACATTTTAATCCTCCTGATCTATCATTAGTTGCAACACCAGATTTATATTTTATGGATTTGAGTACTGTTCCATAAATTAAATTAAGAGCAGAAGCAATTGTTATCAATTATGAATGGACAGGATTATATGAGAGTGTATAAGCAAAGTAAAATAAAATTGAAAATGGAATCTAGTTATAATTAGAGGATAAGAAATTACAAATAATGTTGGAATATTCATTAGGTTATGGTAATTATTTAAATGGATAATCAACAAGAGGAGGAGCTTATGCATTTAAACTTGATATTATGAGTTAATTAGATGATGTTAAATCAAATGATAATAAAACAAATTTATTAATTGTCATAATACTACACATAGAATCAGATTTAGGTTATTCATTATACGATGAATAATTTCTTGCAAAAATAGATTACGATTTTCTATGCAAAACTCCAATATCTTTACTATAATAAGATTTAAATGAATTAAAAAGAATGGAGAGAGTTGTAGAGAGAGCTAAAAAGAGTCATGGAGAAGATTCAAGTGATTAAGCAGGAGTTAAGTAATTGAATATAAATATCATTAGATTTAAAGTATTATAAGAATAATTACAAGATAAAATAAAAAAATTGGAAGAGAAAAATGCATATTTAGATAGCAGATATAAAGTTTTATTATAGTATTATTGTGAAGATTCTAAATTGTAATCAGATGAATTCTTTACAAAAATTGATAAAATATGGAAAGATTATTAGAATGTATTTTTGATAAATAATTTATAAGGCTTTAACCTAAATTGCTAGAATAAAATCATAAGAATAGAAATAATAAAGGGATACAAGAAAAAAGATGTCATAATCTTGCACACTTGAAGCATTATAATAATCAAATGAAAATTAAAAAAATTAATAATAAGTGAAATAATAAATTTAAGAGACTAATTCAGGTTCAAATAAAAAAGATGTGATGGAAGAATTAAGAAGATTGTAATCAAGAAAGGCAGAATTAGCTGCAAAAAGATAATAAAAGACTATAGAAATTGAATGAAATTGAATTAAGGGGTTTTATAAAATAATTAAAAATGAAGAAAAAATTGATGCGCATAACATGAATAGATAATTTCATTATCTATGGAGATAAGCAATAACAATAGATATGTCGTCAATAACTTCATCTTCTTCTTACCATCTTTTAGTTGATTCTCTAACAATTATTTCACAAATTTCATCTATTTTTTTAGCAGTCATATTAGGACTCCAATGAGAAATAACAATTTTTTATATTTCTTCATTAGAAAAGAATTCCCAAACACCATCACTTGCAACAACTAGAAATGCACAATTAGTTTCCATTTTATGATGTATTATTTCAGGCTCTGAAGTAACTCCAACAGTTGATGCAACATAATCTCCAAATGATCTACTCATAGCTAATCCAGGAATTTGTTCATGTTATAACCATACTCTTGCTGGACCAATCTTTTCTCCTGTTTCTGTCATATAAGGTTCAACTCTTCCTCTATTAGATATAATCCTTTTAAATTCTGAAGGTAAATCAGGTTTATGATCATTAGATAATTCTACAACATGCCATTTATTAAAGTTTTATTATTCAATTAATATCTAAATATTTAAAATTCACTTACAGATCTTGAATCTCCAATATTTGCACACCAAAAATGAGGTCCAGAAACTAAAACCAAAGAACAAGTTGTTCCACTAAATGTAATATCTATTCCAGAATTCGATAAATCTTTTGTCATCTTACTAAAACTAGAAGTCAAAACTTTTAAAATTTCTTATTCATAAACCTCACTTATATCTTATTCCTATTTTCCAATAAATGTTTTTATTGATTGATCAATTATAGTTGGAAGCACTCTTTTTACTAATTAAGAAACATAATGACCATAAACTCCATGTCCATCACATACTGAAAATATATACCTATTCTTAATTCCACCTAAATTATTTGTTATTATAACACTATCTTAATTGGTTTTTGTTTAACCATTTCCATTTTAACCAGCTTGAGACCTTATTTTATAATATTTATACTTTGAAAAAAACAATTAAACGTAATCCTACATCTCATATTCATTTGTAATATTATTTACTAATGTAGCTTAACTTGTTGATCTTCCATGTAACATTATCATTTATTAAGGCATTTTAGGTTTTATACTAGTATCTTAATCAACTGTTTAAGATGCCATTTTGGCTCTAGAGACATTAGCTTTTTATTTAGGAGAAGTATCTTAAAGTAATTTAATTATTTATGCTCTGCTCTTAAAATATTATATTTTAATTATACCGATGGTGTTACTTCATTACTAGCATCTGTTCTCTTACTTCTTTTTTGGGCTAATCCCAAATCAATTTTTTATAAAATATCTTAACTTGATGAACTCTCTGCTTTTTTTAAATTTGGTAATTTTGTTGGAGATGGTACCTACATTATTCTTAATAATACTTCTTATTAATTGGAACTTATTACTCTTTTCTTTGGAGAATAACTACTAGGCTATACTAGAGATAATCTCTATTATTGGATCTAACAAATATTATTTGAAAATACTATTTTCACTTTATCATCTTATAACCCATTGCTTGCTGTTTAATATCTCTTCAATTACATTTTACTCTTTGTTTATTGTTATCCATTTCTAATTTAATCTTATTTTTATTTACATCACAGGAGACATATTTATAACATTTGATCTTTCTGATGGCTGTTATTATCCTTGTTTTTTCTTTAGCATTGGAGAATTTGTGCTTGATTATTGATTGTTTGATTATTATTATGACTCATTAAATTTTATAGGAAACACTCTTACTGGGTTCATCTAATATTTTTTATTTACTAATATAATTTTATTACAAATTTCAGATCAAAAATTATTATAGAAATATGATATTACATTATTATTTAAATTTTTTAGATAATGAATTACTATAACAAAATATTATCTTATATATTTAAATTCTACAATAAAATTTTTCAATGCTTAAATAATGAAATATCTAAAATATTCAAATACAAATTCTTACTCTACCTTAAAATTAAGAAACATTTTCTATAAACATAATTTTAAATTATATCCTGCCTCAGTTCTATTAATTAAACAAAATAGAATCTCAATCTTTTTTGTAGTTGCAAATCTCTTTGCAATTTAGATATCTTCACAAGTTGAATTTAATGCTGGGAATATAATTATTTCTCTTATTTTATTATCTCAATAAATTATTCAACTCAATAATTAATTTGTCTTTAAAACTTCACATTTTACTTAAAATATTTTTTATCATCTAATTAATAATAATCTAATTCTTGACTATATTTACTGATTATAATAATACCTTTGATTCACTAATTGAATGTACAATTAATGAGGAAATAACATTTTTATTTAACTTTTAAATACTTGAAATCATTAAAAAAAGTAATATGATATTTTCAACTTCTTTTTATTTCTTAGCTTTTTATTATTAGGTCTGTTAATTTGTTCTATTAAGTTTAATTAAGCATTATTAATTGTGTTTCTTTATAAAACATGAATAAATAGAACTTATTGATTAGTTACTTTTTTAATCATTTGATATTCCTACTTTAAGTGTTATAATTATTTATGTAAAATAACTAACGATGAAAGAATATTTAAAATTTTACAGGTTATTCTAAAGTTGTTTAATTTATATCATCTTACAAAAAATCGAAAATGTGATATATATTTATCTGTAAAATAAAATTTTTTTACTATATTTTGAAAATTAATTTTTAGTTTAATATATGTATTTCCCAATTATTGGTTGTACATATTTTAATATGTCATTTTTAAGCTATTCAATATGTTGTCTAAATTCATCTTAAGAGTTCTTAATACAAAAATTTACTTCTCCTTATGTTTTCTATTAAAAAGTTTAATTAAATCGAATAAAATATATTAAAAATTAGAATTAGGAGACATTATTTCATTTACAATTTTTAAATTTGTATTTTATATATAATTTTTATAACATAATTTTCTATTTAATTAATCACTTTAAAAATTTATCTTTCAATTATTAAAACAATCCCTTTTTATTTTATGTCTTTTAGTTTATTTATTAATTGGTTCCTTATTCATCTTTTTGTTGATCATCAATTATAGTTTCTTCTTCCTCTAATTGTTGACTTTTATAAGTAAAGTCTTATATTAAATTTTTTTCCTTTTCTTTGTCAATAATTTTAGCATCAATAATATACATTGCAATTACTGGTTAATGATCACTCTCAAATCTATCAATACTTTTATAAAATAATTATTTTATGGAGGATTATTCATTTGTTTTAATAAATATTCTATCACAATAAGATGGAATTTATTATGGTTTTTTTGTTTAATATGTATAGTTAGAACTTAATTTGTATGTAGGTAAGAAAGTAATACAAGCTTCTTAATATTCTTATAAAGGATACTTTTCTTTTGCTTCATATGCTTAATCATATTATTAAAGTTTTATAATACATTATTCAGCTTATCTTAAATTACCTTATAATTAGAATTCTTTTTATTTTTAAATAAGTTCTAATATTGAAGCTTAACTTGCATTTAATCTGAAATTCATATCTCCCATTATTACAGTATAATCTGAAGAATCAATTGATTTCATTTACTATTTAAAAGCCTTTTCATGAATTTCTTCAAGACTTTCAATTCTTCTTTTATTTTTACTATTTCCAGAAGCTAAATGACAATTACAGATAGTTATTTCTGAATCATTGATTTAAAATCTAATTACACATGCTCCCTTGTTTCCAGTATGACCCTCAAGTCCTGTTTTAATTTTATTGGTAGAGATCTTACTGATAAGTTAAACTAAAGATTTTTTAGAATAAATTAAAAGAAGCATTCCAACTAAATTTTCTTATTAAATCAAACTAAATTAATCTCCATTAAAATTAATAGATTAATCAATATTTTGAATCCATTAATTGACTATATCTGGATTATGACCAATCAAATTATGAGCTTTAAGTTCTATAATCTCTTGTAATGATATTACAATAAAATCTGGTATGAAATCTTAAGGAAATTAAAATACATCTTTTTATAAATTAGAAATTAAATTGCCATTAACATTCCAAGTTAAGGCAAATAATTTATATTTCTAAAATTTACAATAAGATTTAACTTAACTTTATAAATAAATTTAAAGTTATGATTTTTGATTTGAAATTCCATGTAGATAAGATTCAATAATTTAATTTTTAGTTGAATCAATAAATGTTTAATTAAAAAATCTACCAATAGATGCAAAATTATGTGTAATGAATCCTTTAAATGTAGTTTTACCTTTTTTTGTGAATTCACTTGTAGTTGCATTTGTTCCACAATACAATTAACTTATAGCATCTCCATTTTCAGCCCAAATTACTCTATATTAATTCAAAAATTCAGAAACTTTTGTATCTTCTATCATAAATAATAAATCCATTGTATGATTTACTTAGTATTTAGTAAGAAGTAAATCAGTAATTCTAAGACACAAACGACTTTAATAAGCATTAGTTCTATCTAGACAATCTAAGCAATTAATTCTATATGCTCCTAATTATAATGAGTTTATTTATTAATTGGTTGTGTTTATTGAAAAACAATCATAAACAATACTTTGCTCATCTGAGGCTCTTATATAACTATCAATTTATTTAAATTTTTCATTCTTACAAATTTTATGAAAATCAATACGAACTAGATTAACTCCATCTATTTAATTTTTTTCAACTAAGTTTTTAAAAGACTCATTAAGAATACTTTCAGATGTATTATCTCCCATTAAATTAATACAACTTATTTATTTATAATTTTCTTATAAATCATCAAAATGTTTGAGATAAGCATGAACACATAGTTCTTCACTTCTTGTGATTTTAACATTTCCAGTAATACCTTTTTATTTCCAAAAGGTTGGAACACTACCTCTAAATATAACATGACTTAAACAATAGTTTTTTACCATTATTATAAATTCTGTTGCAACATAATTAGCAACATAACCTTCATCATTGATTCCTCGATGATGAAATCTAGTTCCTGATTAATATCTACATTTCCTACTTATTAAAATATATTTAATCTATTCATCTCCTAATTTACTTTAAATTTAACCAACATATCCTTAAATCATTTTACAATACCATTAAGGCTATATATTTTGATCTTGAAATTTATTGTATAAATGTGTATTCCATAAAAATTCTTAATAATCTTTATTATTTTTGAAGGCATTCTATAAAGGCTGAGCTGGATTTCCATTCAAACTAAAATAAAAATGATTTGACAAATACTAAATATTTAATAATGTATTTACATCTTTTATTGATTCTAATTAACCATATTCATTATAATGTATTTTTTTATCTAACTCTTATTTTAATCCTATAAATGCCACAGATTATATTCTATAGTATTTTTATTTTAACACTTAAGCCACTAATTCACATTTTTTGCATACAAGTAAATAATTTTAAATTTATCCTTAATATATTCCTATAATAGAAGATGCTTATATTTCTTCTAAACTTGTCTCTCCTTCAATTTATGCAGTTTAATATTGCTATTCTGTAATCTTACCATTAGCATTATCAATTATCAGAGCAGTCTGCAATCCTAATGATGGTTCATTTGCATTTACAATTATCCTTTATGAAAATCTAGTGATTGTAAAATTCTTAAGAAATTGAGATTTAAACATGATTTTAATTAATGAAGAAATCAAATGAAGAGATACTTAAAATTATATATTGAATATATATTTTAGAAATGTTATTTAATAATTAAATATTATTATTAGAAATAATGAATTATTCCTAATTATATTATTTACTGTCAATAGATGCAGTATTTATTATTCTTTTGATTCTGAGTTAGTTTGAGTGTATAAAATAATAGTTTATAAAATACCAAAGTAATTATTTTTATTATCTAGAGGGAAGAAAATAAAGAAGGTCATAGACAAAACCTTAGTTATTTTCTCCAGGAGCCTCCTTTTTTCATCATCATCAAACTTTGGATCCAGAAGCAAATAGTGATGAATAAAAATAAGGAAGAAGAAAATCAAGAGCAACTACATTGAAATTATCATAATCAGCTAATAACTAAAATGAATTAAACAAAAATACAAACATTAGAAAATCAATAAAAAATCATACTACTTTAACAATAGTATCTTAGAATAGTTACTTACAGACCACTCCAGAATCAAACAAGCACAGGAATACAATTAGAAAGCATAGTTAATTTGTTACCAATTTAATCACTCCTGAAACTGCAAGAAAAAATTTTAACACTAATCAATCTGATCATGGATCTAAACTTAATGTTTAAAAATAAGCAAACCAATAATTTGATAATAAAAAGATGAAGCCCTTTCTTGTAATATAATTTATTAAATTTAGCTCTACTTTCCAATCATAAAAGGTTTTATACAACTAACACATAGTTTGCCAACTATATTTATTTAATGTTGGGCTAGATTAATTTTTTAACTTATCTATGTTGATTTAATGACATTTTATGAATTTGTTTTTATTCCTGTATTTTTTATTGCTAACAGACTTATTGATAAAATAATTAGAAGAATTGTAAGGAATTATTCTGATAGAATAATTTATGGAATGACTGCAACATATATGGTTCTTGCTATTGGAACTCAAGTAGTTTATGTAATTTACAATAATAATAAAGATGATTTTTGCAAATTTTAATTATTTATCAATTGTGATTAATTTAATTGATATTTTTGGAATAGACATTTTGATTTATTGCATATTCAGATTGTATAGGGTAACTGAGAATAAATAAGAATAAGATTTGGATTAAGACTAAATTTGATTTTTTGAATACTAAAATAATCTATATTTATATTTTCTATTATACAAATCTTAATCATTCTTCTGTTTCATATTAATATAAAATATCACATAGGTTTGAACCAACTTTTGGTACTCTTCCTATTACTAATTGTGAACTTAAATTGTTAAAAGTATCTGTTTCTCTATTTAAACAAGCATTAGTTAAAAATTAAGTTGATGTTTCAAAAGTCATTTTACCAAATGGAGCAGTATTAAACTTATATATAATGATTAATATTTACATCCATATATATTCTATTCATAGCCCTAATTTGTCCTCCAAATGTCATATAATCAGCGATTAAATATAAGTGTCTATAATCAACAGCAACACCATAAGCTCCAAAAACTGCCAATATCTCTTTAATTATGGCATTTCTTGCAGCTTCTACACCAAAAGCATTCATTATTGCTACTATATCATTACAATCTATATTGTTCAAATTTATGAAATCAAAATTTCTAATTTTATAAAGATTAACACCCTCAGTGTAGATCATGAATGATGCTCCTCCACTTTTATCATTCTTGATTATTTTTGCTTTATTTATTCCTTTAATTTCATTAATTACTGTATTTGATAAAGTTTTCTTTACAACATTTGTCATTAACATTTTTTTACTATTCAAAGGTAATTTAATAATAACTTTAATATGTTATTTTTGTATCTCAACTTTCTCTAAATATTTATGTTATGTAATCTAAGAATTTTATTATTATTCTTTTTTTGGATTTTATTTTTTTGGTGAATCCTATTATTGATGAGATTCTTCGAATATATCATATTGTTATGCAGATTATTCAAATGTTTGGTTAATGATATTTAATACTTCTTCATCTTAATTAAGTTCTTATAAATCATCTTATTCTTCTTATTATTAATCTTCATCTTCATCTTCTTCATCATCAGATCCTTTTCTTAATTTTTTAGCCTCATTTTCTTTAGTTTTAAGGAAACTAGTTTTCTCAACACATCGAGATGAATTCTTATTTAATTCTGCTTAAATTATTTTTAATAATAATGGAATAAAAACAAGATTAATTTTCTACAAAAAATAAATAAATATATACATTTCTGATTTGATCTTCAGAAATTCCAAAGACATATTTGATTTAATTTAATTCTTCTAATTCAACATCAATTTCATATATAACTCCTCTAAATTGGGAATGAAGAGGAATTCCATTTTCTGTTAATCTTTTATATTCTCTAACTTTAATATTATTGACTAATTCTAGAAAAACTAATTTTGACATTCTTTTAGCATATCTATCTGCTTGAGATTTTTCAATATTAGCATTTAAGAATTGAAGAGACATAGTTGGAGTTTTTTATTTTTTGGTAGCTGTCATTAATATTTCTCTTAATCTAGGAATACCTAATGTGACATTTTTTTCACCATGTCCAGCTAAATGAAAAGTATTTAAAGTCATTTAAGTTGATGGTTCTCCAATAGATTAAGCAGCTACACATCCTACTGCTTCACCTGGATGCATCAAAGCCCTTAAATATCTGATATTAGCTAATGATTTGAAAGATTTATTAGATATTTTCTTTGTTTAAAGTTCATTTTAACATTTTTACAAATATTCATTCATAGTTGATTAGACTTTCATTGAAACAGCTCCTAAATTATGAGATGGATTATAAGTATTCATTAAAGTATCATTTTCTAATTCAACTGATGAACCATCAATAGTTGTAAAATGCTATTTCATTTCTTAAACTCTATATAATTATTTGTAATGTTGATTATTTTAGGCTAAGAAACTAAACTTCTCTAAATATTTAGTTTTTGTTGTATCTATTCCATCTTCTCCATAAAATATTTAAATTAAAGATCCATCATTATCTCTGACAGTTAAATCATATTAAACAATTAATCCTTCTAAATGTTTTATGAGACATCTCTATAAATATCCACTTCTACTAGTTTTGACTGCTGTGTCAATTAATCCTTCTCTACCAGCCATACAATGGAAGAAAAACTCTTATGGCCTTAATCCTGTTAAAAATCTATCTGCTACATAACCACCTGCTCTTGGATTAGGATCATATGGTAAAAATGATGGGAGAGATCTACCTGTAGGCATTAATGGTACTCTTCTACCTTCCAATTCTTATTATCCTAAAAGAGCAGATACTTAAGAATGGTTTACATTACTTCCTTTAGCACCTGTCATCGTCATCATAGAAAATAAGTTTAATGGGAATAACTTTTATAAACCACCTAAAGTTGAACCAACTATTTCTGAAGTTACTTTAGTCATTGCTTTTTTATATTCTTAATCTAATGCCTCTTCTTAATGCTTTTCTATTAATATTTTTTATCTTAATGCTTCATATATTTCATGATCATATTAGAAATAATGAATATTCTATTGATATTTTGGATGATTGTATTATCCATTTTCAAATATAAAATTAGATCGATTAAATAAATTAATTGATTCTGGTATTTATACATTATATCCACAATATTCTGCTGCTTATTTAACACCTTTTTTTAAATTATCTTCAATTAATGCTCTTCTTTTTTCATCATGTTATTAATCTACTATAAGATCATCCATTCCGCATGAAAATCCATGATATTATAAATAGGCTGCAAAAAGACGAGCAAAACCTGTTAATAATTATCCAGTCATTTTAGGACCATAGAGTTCATGAAAAGCATGCATCATACCATAATCTGCACCAGAACCAACTTAATTCTTATCTACTATTCCCAATAATAATTCATTATCTTTTATTATTACTTATATATCATCTGATGCCATTCCTGGCAATTCTTTTGAAGATAATTTACATTTTGATTCAAGATTCAATCCAATATCTGGATCATATCCATTTAATCCAACTATAATTTTTATTATATTACTAATTAATTATTTACCTGTCCACAATTATTTAGGTTTAAGAATTGCAGGTTGAAGCAATTCAATTTTCTAACTGTTTTTTTCAAATAAACTCCAAATTGCTGTATAAATTAGTTACATATATTGTTATTTAGTTAGAAATGTATCTCTTAATGTCAGAAATACGCTACTAACAATCATATCTTACATCAATTCTCTTAATGGCTTTCCATTAGTTTATGAAATATATTGATAATCATTTAATGCAATATTATATCCTTCAGCTCTTCCAATCATACTTTAAATAAAATGAAGATTCATTTCATCGCCATCAAAATCAGCGTTATATGACTTACAATTAGCATAATGAAATCTAATTGTTTATTCATTTGGTAATACTCTTACTATATGTCCCATAATACTTGGTTTATGTAAACTTGGTTATCTATTAAACAGCATTACATCTCCTGTTCTTAAATGTCTCCATACAACTTTATTTTCACCACTTCCTAATTCTCTTACAATTGCCATTCTTTATTAAGGTGTTAAATACTCTAAAGCTATTTTTTTACCATCTTCTTAAAAATATAATGCTCCTGGATAAACAGGTCCATTCATAATCAAATCTGCTGCATATTATTGATTTAATTAATTAACATTTTCTGGAATAATTAATTTTCTAGCTAATACTGTAGGTACTCCAACTTCATTTGTACTTAATAATGGATCTGGTGAAATTACTGATCTACAAGCAAAGTTTACTCTTTTCCCCATCATTTTCATTCTAAATAATCCTTACTTTCTTTCTAATAATTATTTTACTCCCGGAGTTTCTCTATTCTATTTATTTTAAGCTCTTTCAGAATTTACTAATCCAACTACACAATCTTAGAGTTCTAACCACTTTTACATTATTGTATCTAATCTAATTATTTTCTTTAAATTATTTTTCATATGATCTGATTCTTTCAATGCTTCCATACTACTTTAAGTTTATGCTGGAGCATTAGTCATATTAGTTATTAATACTTTTAATTCTTAATTAAATTCTAAAATTCTTGTATAAGTCACAGTATGACCATGTAAAAAAGTTTGGTCATTCACTTTATTTTCAGGCCTATATCGATTAGCTGGAACAATTAATACTTCAATAAAAAAATTCTCTGGAGATATTTTCTTCAATTCATATCCTTTTTTAGCATTTTTTAATGTATTTCCATTTACATAAATACTTCCATAGATATATTTTAATAAATCTTAATCCCATCTCCATAACTAATGAATATGTTCTGAAATTTCCATTGGATTCAAATAATGATTTTTCTTCTTATTTGTTCCTTATTATTATTATTAATCTTCTTAAATATCTTTGTTTCCTTTTTCACTTTTTTCCATTAGAAAGAATTTGCTTACGCCTTCTTTTCTAATATTTGGAGATACCTTATTACAATGAGGACATTTTTTGTTAATATCTTTGAAAAATTATTTTGTTAAGATTTTTAATTCCTATAACAAATGACTTGTTTAATGAATTCCATCAATATATTCTGATTAATGTTTTTTCACTAAAAGAACATCTAGAATTTGTTAAATTTATTCTTTAACATTTTCAATATCTAAAACTTCTTAATTTACATTTTCTTATTCTTATTACAATTTACTATCACTACCCTTTCTATGATCACTACCTTTTCTTGATGTATCAGTTGCAGTTACAGATTATTTTCTATTATCTGCATTCTTTGTTTATTTACTTAATCTTAATTTTGTCATGTATAACTTTTGATACTTTTTCATTTCAATCAATCTTCCTAATCTTAGTAATTTGAAATTGTTTTTATAAAACTTTTTTCTGTCTTTTGTTATTCTTAATTTATGACAAAAATAACATTTGGCTCTCATCAAACTCATCAGTTAATTTACTAAATATGGATTGTAAACAGGAAGTAACAATTCAATATGACCTACATGTCCTGTACAATCCATATTCTCTTAACCACATGTTACACACCTTGTTCCTCTTTCATGTGGTTGAACTCCTAAAGCAGGATCATAAAGACCACCTCGAATTGGGTGATTGAGCTTATCGAAAGCTTTAGGATTTGATATCTCTTTAACACTCATTTCTCTTATTTCTTTTGCTGTATAATAACCAAAATGGACTTACTAAATTCTTTTTGTAATCACAGATTAATCAGTCAGCATTAATTAAATTTTATTATATAACAATTATATTCATAATTTATCATAAATTCTAACTCTATTTACTTTTTTTAAATTTCTATTTTATTACAATATTCTTTGTCCATATCCAATCTTTTTAAATAGTCATTTCTATTTCATAAAAAATTTTAATGGAATATTATTATTTTTATACTTTATTTTACTAAATTTATATATATTTCTCTTGATAATAATTAATTCTTTAATATTAAAATTTACACATTTTTAAGTAAATGGATAATTAATTAGTGCTATCTAGACAAGTCAGTGAATAGTAGATATTTGATTTGTAAATTCAAGCTATCACTTAAATGTGCAATTTTCATAAAATAAGGCTTGGAAATATCATAGATTCTATGCATCAAAAAAGTTCTTAATTCATAGAAGAAAGCATCAAATTAATTGAAAAAGAAGTCTAAGATCATTCATTTTGGTAATTAACATCATAAACAATTAATAAAGTGCATAAAAATATCGAATAATTAGAAAAGAGATTAAAAAATGAGATGAACATCGAAAAAAATAACATATAACATTAAATTAAGCTTATTTCAGAATAAATCAGAGAATTTATTACAAACATTATTTTGATAATAAATTAAGTAACTGAAAGCACTACAGAAATTACTAAGAAACTTTTTAAAATCCTTAAAGAAATTGAAGAACTTTTAATTCGAATGAACAATCTAATTAACTCTAATAGTAGTGCTCTTTCACATATTAATTTTTCCTTGGCTATTTCAGTTTTCCTCGCTGAGGTTGGTTTTGAATGGATTACAGGAAAATAAATGAGAAATTTAATTAAAGGAGCAACTTAAATTGCTTTGCCATTTATTTTTGCAGTCAATGCAAATAAATAATTAAAAAAACAATTTAATGATTTGAAATGTCATTTTGAAAATTAAAAAAAATTAATTGATTAAAATGTTACTAAAAGTATTTCAGAAATGAATATAGCTATGGATGAAGTTATTAAAACCTTTTTAACTAATATTAAAAGACCTAATCTTATTGACTAAAGAGCAATAGCATGGCTAGATAATAACATTGAAAGTCTTGGAAATACTTAATTAGCAATTAAAATTAAAAATTTTTTTCCAAATATTTAGCATTATCATTTTACAAGTGATCATCAAAGCCTTTTAAAATTTTTGAATGAAAATTACATAACTTTTTTGATATTACAAGGATCAATTGCAAAAGAAACTTTGGAAAAGCTTATGACCTATCCTAATATACATTCTATACTTATTTATTGTTCGTTTCCGGATAAGTATATAGATCTAATATAAAAGTATAAATCAATTGTGTTTATCACAAATCAATAAGATGAAGTTATTGGAAAATTAGAAATAAATTTAGCTCCATCCTTAACTTTAAGAGAAATCAATTTATACTAATTTCCTAACTATTTCTAACAGAATGCTGCTCTCTATTATCTATCTGAAGAATTTTCATTAAATAGTATACCTTAACTTTCCTAAGCTGAAGCTCTCTAAATAATTTAAAATGCAATGTAATTTGTCCCAAACACAGTTTATAAATTATCTGAAGATGCTCAATTAGAATTGTCTATTTAAATTCATGAAAAATTTAGAAATGGAAAAATTGAAGATATCATCAATCTTTACACAGGACCCAGCGGTTTTTTTAAGTTAATCAATAAATTGTTATAAAGTTTGAATGAAAGAGCAATTTTAGAAGCATCAGTTTTAATATAATCATTAAAATATAGTTTAGAAAAATACTAAGACAATATTGAAACGAATTTGTTTGTTTCTGATGACTTTTTTCTTTACAGAGGAGTAGATTGTTCAATGGATTCATTTAGGCTTAAACATAAATTATATGATTTAATGATGTTTCCTGCATTCACCTCAACTAGCAGAGATTTTGCAATAAGTAAGTCTTATGCTAAAGAATCAGGTATTATTTTTAGAATCTCATTCAATGAAAATAATTTAAATGATTCTCATTTTTAGATGGTTCGACCAAAAGCCATTTATTCTGTATCATAATTTTAAAACGAATAAGAATATTTATTCTCTTGTTTTTCGTGCTTTATTATTACAAAGTTTAATGAAGACAACATTATAGATATAGAATTTGTTAAGATTTGATTAGTTAAAATAATTAGTATACTATTTTTGATCAATGATTTATACGATTTAACAAATACAAAATTATGAAATTAAAAAAATAATTGAATAATCACCTTTTATTTTTTTTTATTAGTTATTTAAATATTCTACGTAAAACACAATCAAAAAATCAAAAATTTATTTGTTCTCTAAACATACTGATCAAATGCTTCTCCTCTTTTTTATTTCATGTGAGCTTCAGTTATGGGTATTGTCACAAATACCATAGCACAAAATAAGATAAGAGGGCCAAATAATGAACAAACACTTATGGCATTATAAATTCCTGACAATGCAAAACATGTCCAAGCAATAAGATCAAAAAATAAATTAGGATGTCTGCTTTTTTTCCATAGACCAGTTTCCATTACTTCTGTCTTGGGGATCAAACCTTGTAGTTACAACTTTTTAAATCTCTCTAATTGTATATCTATATATAATTATATTTTTTACCTGCAATTGCTTCGAAACAAATACAAAATGGAATAATTGACAATGTAATGTAATTCATAATCTTTAATCCCTCAAAATCGTAATTCCATTCAAGATTGTTTTAGAATAAGAAATATAATGGAATGCTGGTCACAAAAATGAATATACCTTAAAACAAAAATTGAACCAAAACCATCAAGTTTTTTTTTAGCTTGTCGTTGTTAAATTCATTAAAAATATTCTCAAACCGTTCATCTCTATATCCTCCAATGACTCTATAAATACATATGAACCCAGCCAACCTCATAGACCAAAGAATAACAAGAATAATATAAATCTTAAAATCTAAAAGTATTCTTACAATCTTAGATGTGAGTGAAATCTCAGAAAAAATACAATAGACTATTCCTGCAACTAAATGGCTTATAGGATAAGCTACATCGACCATGCAAATTTAATCTCCTGCAATTTTGTAAGCAAAGAAAAACAATACTTAGTCAATAAGTATTGCCGGAAGTCCCCAAGTCAATGCAACCTCCACAAAATCAATCATTCCTAAATAAATAATTAATTTTCAGAATTCTTGAGAACTTATTAAAAATCAAATTATTCATTATTTATATCAACAAGATTTTTGTATAGTATTTTGAATCTTGAATTCAAATTATTTCTTTCTATTGAACAATTTAATGATATAGTTCTCAAGATAAAGCAACATTTGCTTATCAAATTTAGAAACATAATTAATTTCTGCTATTTAATTAATTTATTTTTTGTTTAATTCCTATTTTAAATGGCAACACATGAGCATCCTTTTTTTTATTATCGAATAAAAACGACTTATTATTTAAAAGTAATGCAATAAAATGTTTTTATTTTATATTTAGTATATGGTAATTTTTTATTTTTAATATGACTAATTTTTCTATAATGTAACTTAATTAACCCTAAATATAAATATATGATAAATCAATGAATAATTATGATATCTAAAATTTAATTGATTATAAATTTATTGCAGGTTCCTCTAAAGAGACTAAGTAAATGTTGAATTAAAAAAAATACATAATTCTACTTTAATCAGATCTTAAATGGAATACATTTACAATTAATTTTAAAAAGAAGTTGTAACAAATTAAAGAAGATATATTAAACAAATTAATAAGGATTGAATCTCCCTTTAATATTAGTATCATTTGGCAAATATATCAATAAATTACCTTTAATTTAAACTTTTTTACAACAAATTAAATAATTATCTTTAAAAGAAATTAACAATGATTTAACTTTGATATTTTTCATATGAAAAAATTAAATATGTTACTTTTTTAAATTTATATTCATTCTTTCAGCTTTTGCTTTGTTATTTCTTAGAAATTTGTTCTCAATTAGTAGCATAATACATAAGCTGATTTTGAAACAACCATTGATTCGCTTATTTGACTAACAGATGAGTCATCAAAATCATACCATTTATTAGTGAACTAATGAAATTATATTCGAAATTACTTTATTTTTTGCAAAGGCTGTGTAATGTCCGCCTCCTATTCCACCAAAATGATTAGAAATAGCATATAAATCATAAATAACCTATTTTTTATTAATTTCTCCATTATTAGTCATATTTTCTTTATGAAATTCTTTAGGAGTATTTGAATTAATTAAGTAATCTGTCATATCAAGATTTTCAATCGGAAAATCGACAAAGGTTTCAAGTTTTTATTTAAATTATATATTTGAAGTTTTAAACCTCTTTAATGTAAAAATTAATATTTAAGGAGCCTATATATAAATATGAAAAATTTAAACCTTATATATTTACATGCTTTTAAATGCTTAAACATGTTCTTAACATACTTTACAATACCAAGTATTATCTGGATTAAGTTATTCAGGTATCTATGAATATTACAAACAATCATAAAGAGTAACAGTGTTTGAGGAGGAATTGTAGTTCGTAGAACTAGAAAATTGGTTAGTTAAATTATTATTCTCATCTTAAATCTTTTAATATTAATTTTACCTTCTATTTTATATTATTTGACAAAATAATTAAAAATATCCAGTAATCTAACTTATTTAAATGGACTTTATTTCCAAAGTATAATAATTTCAAAATTTATATTTTTATCAATTTTCAAAGCTTTATTTACTACTTATTCAACTGTTTCATCATCAAATTTGATTTCACAATCCTGACAAGATTATGAATTGCAAAAAGCACATGAATTCCAGTAATTTTAATTTGTTTTATAAAGTAGAGTATAATACTTAATAATAGATTCATATAATTACTTAATTTAAGACTTAATTTTTATAATTTAATGTATTATAACCAGTAAAAAACTACTAAAAATTGCTAAAAATTAATAAATGAACTTATTTTAATGTCATTTATATATCTAAGATAAATACACCAGCTTAATCAAATGATATTGATGATGAACCTTCATAATATTTATTTGAAAATTTAATAGGAATTTTTTTTTTCATTAAAATTTCTTCTTATGTTAATTTTCTAAAGCAAAGTTATGATCTTTTTGAAGACTTTCTTATATCAATAATTGATTTATTTTCATCAAAAAAATCATAATAAGAATCATATGTACGAATATATCCAAATAAATGTTGTGAATCTACCTTTAATATTACTCCAAGATGCTTTAAATACTCTTTTAAAGGAAGTTTTTTATTTTTATCAAACGGTATTGTTATAAATGAACTTTAAAAAAAATCTTTATAATATTTGAATGTAATAGTTCTCTTTTTATAAGTTGGAATACCTAATTATACAATTAAATAAGGATCAAAAGTAATTGAGACTTATTTACAAGTAGGACATTATAGAGTAGATTTATATTGACCATGCATTAGATCAACAATAATTGATTAATTTCTAGCAAGATGGTTTAACCAACTTTCTTTAGCAACAATAAAATCAGGTCTACCATCATATGCTTGAGTTTCAATATATGGTTTCTTTTTAACTCTATTTAAATCTTCATGAATTCCATCTAAAACAAATGTTATTAATTCGGATGAATCATGTTAGTCATACCCACTAAACATTGGTTAAAATTAGCCAACAGCCTTTTTATAGTTTATAGGTGTTATTGTTTGTTTATCTCCACACCACATTTTTTTAATCAATGATCCTACTTTCTTTACTAATTATCCTTTGGTACCTAGAGGGTTATCCATATTAATTTCATCAAAATATAAATTTTTCAAAAAATATTCAACCAAAGGATATGAGTTAGAAATACATTAAGTTCCACTATTCATAAAACATGTATTTCCTAAATTACTTAAACCCACAATTCCCTTAATTGATTTTTATGTAAGAGTTAAAGATTTTACAGTTTCATCATCTGAACAACTCTTTTCATATGTTAAGCTCTCATACTAATTGTAATTGTAATTGTAATTTTAATTGTAATTTTAATTTGAATTTGAATTTTGATTTTAAATTTTCTGTTTGTCTTTACTAACAGGTTAACTACTTACACACCATAGTCTATTTCCATATTTGAACTTTTTGAATAATTTATATAATTACTTCAAACAAAATAATATTATTATCAATAATACCAATATCTTCAATATATTCATATTTATCATGAGTTAGTAATTCTGCATTTAAATAAAAGCACATGTCCTGATTAATATATTCTGAGCTGAATTCTTTGTAAATTTCATTATATAAAGTTTTAAATGGATCCTATTAATCTGTAACATATCTCCATAATTTCACAGAATTACTTCCTTTTTCAAAACTTCCTTAAAAAGTATTTATTGTTGTTTGTAATAATCCATAATAATCTTTTAATTTCATCTTTCTATCAACTTGCATAAATTCAATATCAATTGTTTGCTTGAACTTCTTGCCACTAGATATTTAATCGATCAATGAAGGGTCTAGAAATACACATTTAAACTAAAAATTATTTTATTGTATACTCTTAATAAATTTACAGAAACTTGTTTATCTTTTCCATTACCATTAGATGTTCTGATTATTTCTAGACAATTTTGATGGTAAGATTAAAACAAATCCCAAATTTCCTTATCAATAACCACATAATCAACATTTTCCTATAAGCTTTATTTCATAAATGTATTCCAAGGATGATTTTCATTTGGATGATACTTGAAGCTTTGATTCACAAAATCCTTTAAATCATCATTAATTCTATCAAGTTTTATTCTCCCGAATTACATACTTGGTGCTTTATTAGCCACTATCTCATCATAGGAGACATATTTCTTCCATTAATTAAGCCATCTTAAATTTTCCATTTTAAATACTTTGTGCTTAAAATGTAAAATTGGATGTTGCTATCTTATTAAAATCTCTTTGAAAAGCTTTCTTAAAGTTTCTTGTATTCAAAAACCTACTTCTTTAATTATTCAGCTGTTTATTAAGACATTTGATTTCCATTCAATTTTTCGTCCTTCATAATTTATTTTTTTTTATTATTATAATGTGGATCTAATTTATGATTTTGAATCAAATATTTTTTCTGTTTTCGAGATAATTCTCAACCATTATTATACCAACTTTGTTGTTTTTTAATAAAGTAATAGAAATATGGATTTACATTTACAATTAAATTATCTTTATGAAAATATGTGTATGATAGACTTAATTTAAATAAAATAATCTCTAAGACATAATAAACAAAAATACCGAAAATTTCAATATTAAAATTGTCGAAAGGAATGAATTAATGTAGTTTGTAATATAAAATGTTGTATGATTAAAATAAAATATAAGTTATATAATATTTTTAACGAATTTTAATTAATATACTCAACTTAATGGATAATACAGAAGAATTTAATTTATTCTAACTTTTACATCTATTAATGATTTTTTCTAAGAAAAATATTAGTTAAAATTTTTAATTGATTTTATAATTCTTCTACAGATAAAGATGAAAGGTAAAGACATCAAGCATTCAAATCTTTTAAATTTGTGCCTTGACTTTTCAGCAACTCTAGGTTTTTGTAAAAAGAAATGTTTTCATAAATTATTGAATAAATAAGAAACATAGAATCTAAAATGAATTATTTACAAATGAAAAATAAATAATTAACATTCCCTTATTAAATTTTAGAGTATTAATAATTAAATATTAAAAATACTTACTAAAATTTACAACAGCACAATTACAAAAAAACCACTATAATTATAAATAGTTCTAATAACCATTTTATTACTATAAATTTATATGATCCATTTAATTTCAATATGTTTAAACTTACTAATGTAAGAATTATAAAAATTTATTAATTTAAATATTAAAGAAATGTAATCTATCTAACACTCTTTACAGGTTTAGGTTTTATTATTAATCCAATAAAATTAGAAAAGGAATGTAAACAAAAATATTTCATTATTTTTAAAATACAATAAGATTAAACATAGATTTGTTTCTTATATTTTGTTTTAATTTATAGAGATCACATAATTTATTAATTCTATATGATTAAAATTTATATTTAAATAAATCTTTTGTTTTATTTGATTTAATAAATTATTTGTAATATCTACCTCAATTTAGTTCAATATTTGTAAATTTCTAAGCTAAATGAATTTATTCAAAAGATTTCAAATACAAAAATTTTAGACATCAAAAATGAGAAATTTTGGAAAAAGTTAAAACGATCTTAATATAATTAATAATCTCGAAATTAATAAAAATTTTTCAAAAATTTAAGAATATAGTTTTACAATTTTTGGATTTTGGTGAAATCGAGACACATTGTAAACTGAGTTACCAATTTAAAAGGGTGAATTTCTGATTAATGGGAAAGAAGCATAAAGAGAACATTAAATGCTGTATATATCAGAACATTAGAAATAATATTTTATTTGAAAGTATTTTTTAAATTATTATACTAAAGTTTTACTTCTTAGATTATATCAGCATTTGATGCATATTGCTAAAAATATGCCTCAAATGAGGATTTAAATTTTGAATATTAAGGCGATGTTAAATCCCAATAAGAATAAGCCCATTATCGTTTTAGTAATTCATTACATTGAATATGCTTTGGANTTAAAATTTTTAATTGATTTTATAATTCTTCTACAGATAAAGATGAAAGGTAAAGACATCAAGCATTCAAATCTTTTAAATTTGTGCCTTGACTTTTCAGCAACTCTAGGTTTTTGTAAAAAGAAATGTTTTCATAAATTATTGAATAAATAAGAAACATAGAATCTAAAATGAATTATTTACAAATGAAAAATAAATAATTAACATTCCCTTATTAAATTTTAGAGTATTAATAATTAAATATTAAAAATACTTACTAAAATTTACAACAGCACAATTACAAAAAAACCACTATAATTATAAATAGTTCTAATAACCATTTTATTACTATAAATTTATATGATCCATTTAATTTCAATATGTTTAAACTTACTAATGTAAGAATTATAAAAATTTATTAATTTAAATATTAAAGAAATGTAATCTATCTAACACTCTTTACAGGTTTAGGTTTTATTATTAATCCAATAAAATTAGAAAAGGAATGTAAACAAAAATATTTCATTATTTTTAAAATACAATAAGATTAAACATAGATTTGTTTCTTATATTTTGTTTTAATTTATAGAGATCACATAATTTATTAATTCTATATGATTAAAATTTATATTTAAATAAATCTTTTGTTTTATTTGATTTAATAAATTATTTGTAATATCTACCTCAATTTAGTTCAATATTTGTAAATTTCTAAGCTAAATGAATTTATTCAAAAGATTTCAAATACAAAAATTTTAGACATCAAAAATGAGAAATTTTGGAAAAAGTTAAAACGATCTTAATATAATTAATAATCTCGAAATTAATAAAAATTTTTCAAAAATTTAAGAATATAGTTTTACAATTTTTGGATTTTGGTGAAATCGAGACACATTGTAAACTGAGTTACCAATTTAAAAGGGTGAATTTCTGATTAATGGGAAAGAAGCATAAAGAGAACATTAAATGCTGTATATATCAGAACATTAGAAATAATATTTTATTTGAAAGTATTTTTTAAATTATTATACTAAAGTTTTACTTCTTAGATTATATCAGCATTTGATGCATATTGCTAAAAATATGCCTCAAATGAGGATTTAAATTTTGAATATTAAGGCGATGTTAAATCCCAATAAGAATAAGCCCATTATCGTTTTAGTAATTCATTACATTGAATATGCTTTGGAATGTGATAAAAGTGTTAAATGAATAATGGAAAAATAATAATATAAGATATATTTTAGGAATTGAAAACTAAAATTGATACAATATCGATGATTTAGCAGAAAAATCGTGTTGTGGGCTTTTTTTAAAATAAAGTTAATTTAAAAGATCCATTATTTCTCATTAACAAGAAATATCAAAATTAATTCTTGTATTGTTTAAAAACCTAATAAATAAAGATTAATTAATAGAAAAACCTATTTAACTTACTTAAGCCATAACCTTATGTTTTTTTAATCTTAATCAAGACCTTAAAACATTACCTTAGTCTTTGATTGTTTTTTTAACCCTCAAAATTTTAATTATATTTTGCTTTAAAAGAGATTTCTTTTCATTAATTTTTTCATTTAAAATTTTAGTTACCTATTCCAAAGACTACAACATAATTGCTGTAAATAAAAAATTGTATTCCATATTTTAGCTTCATAAAAACAAGTATAATTATAAAAAAACAAGGTGTTTCCTTTAAGTTAGAATAAAAGATTATAGCTAGATAAATATCGCCTCAACCTTTCTGATATGAACTTATTGAGGATTTACTTATAAAAATTGATTATAAAAAATGAGGATTAAGTATTTTTGATGAAATATATATTCATTAAGGAGATCAAGTTGAATTATTAAATTAGACAAGAAAAAACAGAAAAGAGCTAATAATTCCAAGTTAGTTAGATCTTTATTAAGATTTTAAAACTAACTAATTCTTTTAGACTCTTTATGCTATTTTAAAGAATACTAGATATTTATTTGACTAAATCTTTAAACAAAATAAAAAGAGTAAGTTTAGTTAAATTAGAGTCTGAAATAGATTTTATTTATTTATAAAGATTAAATTCACCATCTAATGTAAGAATTTAAAGAATTTAAATGCTCACTAGCAATAAAAGGCATATATTCTATTTTATATGAAACTTCTTATTTCCAATATTCAGTCATTGATTATAAATTTGATAATTTCATAAATATTGGCATTAGATATGATTTGAGAGGAACTGCATACAGAAAGCATAAAGAAATTTTAATTCTTGCTCTGTATAGAATGATGAACATGGATTTTATCATATTATTGTTTTTTGTAAAGTCTACTCAAAAATATGAATTTTGATGCTTTTGAATTAATCTCAGCTTTGATATAAGGGCATCTATATTTTCCATCTGTTAAATAATTCCTATATAGATTACATCAATAGAACATGAAGGATAATTTAATAAATAAGAAATTAAAATAATTGTATATGAAATTCCTTTAATTTAATTGAAACTAATACAATGGTAAAATATGTGCAACACAATTCAAAGACAGATAAAAAAATAGAAAAATCTTACAAATCTTTTTTCTCAAAAATCAATAGAGTAGGTATATCTAAATTTATTCCTTAAATTAATCTAAGTTTGATCTTTTTTGGGATTTTACCTTTATTTTAGTATTCCAAAATAATAATTATATTGAAATTTAACCTTTATAAAACTCATTAAATCACTGTTTGTACCATATATCAAAATGATTGTTTAAATTTAATAAATCTATTGAACAATTATCATAATAATTTATTGATGAATTAATTCTATTCTTTTGGATTTTGAGGAAGAATGACTTATCTAATCTATTAGATGCAATAGCTCAATTTAATGTTTTTGTCATTCCTAATAGTAAATTAACTAGAACCATATTACCAAATTAAGCAGGAAAATATACTTTGTTTAGTTTATATTTGAAGATTTGCTTTAGATTCTTCGATTGTAATATAATCCTATTTTACAGTTAATTAAGCATGGAAATAACAAGGAGAATTAGAATTCTTAACTTATTTTAGAATAGCTATCCCATTATTAACCATCATTACCTCCTTTATAAGATTAAAATCTAATATTATATGTCAATTCGACCAACAATCTTGATGAGTTTCATCATATTTTGCCTGCTTCATTTCACATCAAGTTCCTTGAATCAATCCTTTAAATCCTGATTTTTGTTGTTATTATTTATTCATTATAATATCATTTAGAAATTGCTTGGATTGTTCCATCATATTGCTCTTCTTATTTATATTATATAGAATTATTCAATTGATGTGTCGGGAAAAATCAGAATTTAGAATATTTGGTGACAGCCACACTATATTAATTTTTATTTGAATATCTTTTTTCATTGATTATAAATTATGAAAATTAAACATAATATTAGTTCAACCAACTTAAAATTTACCAAAAAGATCATTAATTTATAGGTAAAAATATAAGCTTCTATTATCGAAATTAAAAGGAAAGTTTGTATTTGAGACTCTTGTTAAAGATTTTAATCCAAAATTTCCTACAAATTTACATATTTCCTTAAAGAGAAAAAGATAAGCTTTATCAAAATATTATTGTTTGGCTAATAATCAATACTGAAAGCTAATTAAATAGTGTTTAACTTTAAAGTAAGGTTTACAAAACCTATTCAATTCTATTTGGTCATTATTTAAAAATCTAAGGAATTATTCCTTGATTTTTAAATCCAGCTTGTTCTAAATGTTTTAATTGAATACAATTGCATATCAATGTTTTAACAATTAATTCAATATCTCTAATGGCATCCCAATATAAATAAAAAGAAGTTTCAACATGTAAAAATATTTTTTCAATTTTACTTTTAAAATCATGAGCTTAATTTTCAAAACATTTATTAATAGGTATTAATTCTGGAGCTTGAAAAAAATAATCTAAGGAAATGTTTTACCAATAAAGGTATTAAAATTAAGCAAAGATATTTGATTTTCATAAACCTAATTTTCAGAGCTTTATTTAATCAGTAATTCATACCTTTATAAATGTCGAAGATTTTAGGTTTCTTATTTAAATTATTAAAAATTTGAAAGTAATTAAAATTTAATCATTTAGTTTTAAAAAATGATATAAAAATTTTTTTATTGATTTTGATCTTGAATTTAAATTAAGAGCATATTAGAAGTAAAAATAATAACAGGAGATGGAGTAGCACCCTAAAAATTAGATTAAGTTAGATTACTTTATAAATAGCAAATATAAAAAGATAAAAATTGGATATGGAAAATGGATTAATTTAGATAGCTCTAAAATTTATTTAAAAAGATGAAAGTTTTTGTGAGGAACCTTTATTTTTTTAATTAAATCTTAAAGTGCCTAGAAATTTCGAGAAGATATAGTAACTTAAAATAGACAAAGTAGTTGCCAATTAATAATTAAAGTCATTTTTGTATATCCTTCATTCTACCTTTTAGACACTAAATTTACTGTAATATAACACTAAATACCCTTTGAAATATCTTGATGCTTTTGAGTAATTAGCATCTGAAAAATAGGTTTGGTCTGCTTTTTGAATTTTAGTATTTTCTCAGATACGCTGCTTGATTTGGAAATATTTAATATGTTAATTAATAATTTAATTACTGAATATATAGTAGAAAAGTCAAAAAATTACCTGAATAGAAGGTTTTAGAGATTTATTATTTAATTTCTAATATTAAAAAAGAAAAAGTTTGAAGTGACCATCTCTTATTAACCTAAAAATGTTGAATTATATGAGCAAAAAGGAAATATCATAAATTTTATAGCTTTAGCTCGTTAATACATACCTTTAATTTAAAATTATTAGAAAAATATCAAAAATGGATTGAAGCTTTAAAATGTCTTAAAAAAGCCTCCTGATTCACTTCATCTCTATTTGAAAAATATATAGATGATTTTATTTAATAGATTATATTAATTCATAATATTTTTAAGTTAATTAATTAGCGATAATTTAACCTGAAATAATTATAAAACATCCAATCTCTTAAAAAAGACTTTACAATGTTGTAGAATGATTTCAAATTTTTATGATGAACAGATAAAGAGATGGAACAATGTGATTTTTTATGGTTTATTTTTAATAAAATAACGTTAAATAATTAACAAGTATTTCATTCTTATTACATTAGAATAGCATAGTTATAGTTATGAATTTTCATCAATTTACATTATTAACTAAAGGAAACTTAAATTATATATTTTAAAATACATCAAATTCTGTTAAACATGGAACATTTTCAGTTATTGTTATTGAGCCTTAACCTTTTTTTGTTAATGTAACTATCCCACAACAATTTAGTTTTATAGATTTGATTTATTAAGGTCTATTCTTTCTTTATAAATTTGGAGAACCTTAACACCATTCTTTCATGGTTCCAGTATAATTACATTCACTGTAAAATTATACGCATTTTGGAGTTTTTAGATATATATAAACTTCTCTTATACCTATGGATTCTAAAATTTAAACTTAAATATACCATTATAAGAATTCTCATTTAAATTAGTAGCAATAATTATTTACAAAGTATCTGCAGAATGACTCCCTTAGATAGTTTCCAAAAAGACTTTACCAATACCCGTTACACAAATAGGATTAACTCCCCAGTTTTAATCCCACATTCTATAGAAAACCAGCCCACCAACATTAATTGAAGCTGTCTCTTCATCCCATGATTAAAGATAGTAAACATTTATTTACACTTTGATTGTAGTATGAGTTGGAAGATTAGAAAATGATCCTTATATTGTACTTCCTGCACCAACTATTCCATATCCTCCAACAATACTCTTACCTGCGCAAACATATACCCTATTTGCGCTATAGGCCCCAGTGATTTACCAATTAGAAGGCATTGTAAATGTCGATTATTCGAATTATGTTTTCCATAAACAAAAAGAATCTATCATAAAAAATACTACACTAATCGTAGTGATTTCAACCATTGATGTTTGATTTTTAAAATAATATAATTATGAAAAAAAGAAAAATCATTATTAAGCTTGGAATAATTTATAGTATTTAGTAGTAAATAAAATATGTTTGTTTATATCTCTAACCCCGAAATATTGAAAATTCATTAGATGAATTTCAATTTATTAAGTTCATTTAATTTAAATTATGAAGTTGAAATATTTCCAATATTTATATATGTAATATCCTAAAACAGATATTGTTCGAAAAAAAATAAAATTTTTGACAATGCTCTATCAAAATATCGTAGTTCTTTGATAATTTGATTCTTTTTTAACTATTGTTCTTGAACTCTCTATTCACAAAAAAATTAGTTATAACTTTATTTTCTTATGATCTCTCTAAATTTTCTCTCCTCAAAATTATTTCATTAATTTAAAATTAGGATTATTTAATTTTTTTTAATAAGTGAGAAAGTAATGCTCGACTAACAAATCTTGCATTAAGATTTTCTTTTAAACTCCTCTTATTTACATATTTGGGAGGGTGTTATACATTTTGACGAGATGAAATTTTATAGCTAATTAATTGGTAATTGGGGATTGGGGATCTTAAAATAAGTCCTAAGATCAATAATAAAATAATTTCTTAACCTTCAGTTTTTTAATAATGTAAATTCGCAATTAAGCTATCAAAATTTCGTTAATCATTTAATAATTCCTAGAAAAAAAATAAGAATAATCTAGGAAAAACTAGGAAAATAGATTTGAAATATCTGCAGTGTTGACTGATCAAGCTTTCTAAGGTCAATTCTTTTCGCTTTTAACAAAAAGCTTTTTCTTGTAAACCTCTTAAAGATGGTAACATAATGTATAATGAATTCTCAAGTTTATTTTAAAAAAGATTCAACATAATTTTTCTTTATGATAACGGAATGTACAGAAAGTGACAGTGCTTTATTAATTGAGTTTCAACAACGACTTTACTACAATCAAAATAGCTTAAGTCTAAAAATCAAGCAGTTAAAGAATTTAAATTCATTAATATTCAACTAAATTGCTTAAACTTACTTTATTATTATAAATGGTTACTTTAATTTATCTAGGTCAGATTTTTAAAGTTTCTTATTCTAAAATATTAGTAAATTCAAAGACTTCAATCAGATATTATATGAAAGGTAAAAGTAAAATGGATTTAAAATGACTTAGATTGTTATATTTTATAGTTTTTGAATCTACCTTTATATAAATTAATTATCAGCATATTTTGGATTAATTGAAAATGTATAATAATAATACTATAAAGCTTCTGTAAATCTATTTAATGTAAGGATTGTTAATCCTCAATTAAAAGAATTGAAAGGGAGAATTTAAATTACCTTGACTTGATGATGATGGAGCAGGATAACGAGGTAGAGAAATTGCTTTATTAAAGAAATAGGTTGTTGTATTCCTCCAACTAAAACTTATGTATTATTTATTTAATATAAATGTTACACTTTTGTAGTAACAATAGTTCGTAATGTTTTAAGAATAATATTGATCCAGTTTTTTCCTATAAATATTAAATATAAATAATACTCTTTTGTATGTTTTTACTCTACCATGTGGGAAACCTGCTGCAAATGAGTCTATATTATATGGAATCATTGAAATAACAAAAGTTCTATCTACATGTTTGGCATGTTCTAAATTACCAGAGATAAAATTAACTAGTTATATTTTTCTATCTACAGATGATATTACTATATCTAAATAAATAATTGAATAAACTCCTTTTTTCATGATATTTTAAATTTCATATCCATTTACCATATACCATCATGTTATTTCCATCCAATCACAGTACCTTCTTTATTACCTTCTAATAACATTCCATTATGAACATATAAACTTAATATTTCTGCCTCATGATGTAATATTTTATTGATACTAAACTTTTAAGCATTCCAAATTATTATTTAAAAATTATTTGTTACTTTTGTAAACAAAAAAGATAAACAATAGTTAATTTATCATCTTAATCTAAATTTCTATACTTAAACTCAAAAAATATGAATCAACATCTTCATAATTTGTATATCATATGTTGAATTATAATCTACTTTTTTTATTAGTCTTTAATTAAATTCTTTTATCAGAGTTTAATCAATTTAAACTCATGGATTATGAAATATTGTGAATATTTAAATAAAATAGAATTGTTATAAAGGATTTTAATTTCACTTGGTCAGGAAGTGAAAAAGATTTCCTAATAAAAAAGAACTATTGTAATTATTATCAATTAATCTTTCATTATAATTAAAACTATAAATAGCATGAAATTGAATATTTTTATAATATATTATCAAATGAATTCATATTACAATAACTATTATTATAGATTGTAGCACAGAACTGTCATTAAATTGCATAATTTTAAAAGTAATTATCTGTATATTAGATGTTTAACAAGAAAAAATGTAATTATAGAAAATTTAAAAATAATTTGAAATTTCCATTATAGCCTTATGTCTTATTAGTTAATTGAATATTTCAGCTATATCTAACTTTTAAAATTTAATAAATTCAGATGATTGGGATTCTCTTACTTAAGAAAACACTATTGATTTTTACATTAATATAAAATAAAATATATAATTACGTACTCTTATATGTATAATAACAATATTATAGATATTTGTTTAACCTATCTTTTATGTAGAGATAAGCATAAGAAAAGTGTAGTTATAATTAAAAACAAATAAGATTTATTTATTCTAAAATGTATACTTCAAATGGTCCAGATGAAAAATTTATTAAATTTAAAGTATTATATAAGATATTCTATAATATGAATAAGAAAAAGCATAGTTGGAAAAATCAAGATACAGATCTATAATTATATCAATAAAGAAAAAAATTATAAATTATTATTTAAATGATATAAAGAAATATACATCCACTTAATATAATATAATGTTAAATATACAAAATAAATCAATTTGCACTGAGGATGATATTATTGATAGGAATGAAGACTAATTTAATGAAATAACCCACTGCTCCCATAACTGCATTGCACATGATGTTGCAATTTTTATATATTCTATGATTTCAGATCAATCACATACCTCTTTTATCTGGTTTAGTACACTTTCTAATAAATCTATAACTTTCCTGTCCAAAGCTTTGAACATCTGTCAGACTTCCATTTATCCCATTAATGTCTCTTAACTCATAATTTTAAATTAAAATAATTATACGTGTAATGAATAGCTGAAAAATTACGCTGAAATGAAATCTAAAGAATTCACTAGTTATCAAATTAATATATTAAATGAATTAATAATTGAAAAGGTTTA